CGACTCCAAGGCTTTCTTCGATGGCGTGCTGATCACCGTCGGATTAATTCCTTCCGTTTTACTTGGACTACTATTGAACATCTTGGATGCCGTGAGCTACGGGTTCATTATTTTCCCTGCTGGGCCTATTTTCTCTGGGTTCGGGTCCCTTGGTGTATCCATGTTCTTTCTCAGGTAAAGTTTTTTCGAATTACATTCTCTCCCGAAGTCGGAAAAATTTAATTGTTCCCCCCCTCCCTTCCTCAATCCTTTCCATAGTACGGTGATATCCCAGCTGGTGTATTCTTTGGGCGGATCTTCATTTCCTGGCGCCGCCGGATCTATGATCATCGAAGTTATCCCCTTCTTCCAACTCATGACGACGGAAATAATGAGAAATCGTCGGTGAGGAAAATAGGATGCAAATTATCGCTACGACCATGGTCGCCTTCGCTCTATCTTCCATTTTGACGGGTTAACTTTCTTGCTTCTCGGTTTGCTGAGATTGGGCTCGGTGATTGGATTCTTTCCAAGGCATATCCTAGTAGGGTGAGGATTAACGAAAAGACCTTGCGCGATTTTTCATTCATTTCTTTCCTCCATCTCGCCTCCGCCTCTCATTTTGTTCTTTCCTTCTGCTCGGCCCCGATGGCTTACCTTCTTCTCTCTCGTAGGTGTATCGCGGCGTCGGCGTGTTCTGATTCAAACAGGAATCAACGTTTCGGCCGGAATGGGCGAAGAGAAGGCTGAATTTACATGGCGCTTGCTCAAGATGTATTTTATGGATTTGCACGTGTTGGTGCTTTGGGTCCCCGCGTTTGCCTCCGCCGTATTGCTTCGCGTGATAACGCACCATTATCACCATCAGCTGATTTTCCCAGCTTGTGAGTTCATCTGACTTTCTCCCCCCCCCGTGGAGTTCATTTCGGCTCGCTGTGTTCCTGACGGGTGACTTGATCGGCAATAGATTTCGTTGTGTTACCCATTGTGTTCTATATCATTGTGGCCATTGGAGGCTGGGATGTCAATCGCTTAGGGAAAGTGGGTGGATCTTCAATACTGGAGGGTCAGATGAGCCTTGGTACAGGTTTTACTCTTATTTCGGTAAAGTCCCCTACATTCCTCATTTCCCACAACTGTTACAAATTTTTTTTCTGGCTCGTGCAAAAAAGATTTTCATGAGACAAGCTGGAAAGCGATTTGGGCAACAATGCCCACCCAATTGGCCCTTTTGTTTTTCAACATTTTGCATCCGCCACTCAATGTCCCAGCTCTTGGTAAGTTGTCCGGATGATGGTTGTTTTTGTTTTTGGGGGGGTAGAGCTGAACGTGGGCGGCTTTTTTTTTTTTCTCTTAAGGGGTTTCTTTGGGAAAGGATGACGTAGATTTGAACCTCGAATTGACGGGGCATGGTGTGAGCAACCTCATTGCTGGATTCGCTGGCGTACCAAGCAATTATCTTGCGTATGTGAATACGTTATTGTGAGTTGTTTCCCCAGTTATGATGGATCTATTCGGGCCTTGGATTGATGTTCACTTGCAAAAGGTTCTATCGCGTGGGCGGTACGACGCGTTACTCTGGAATTCTTCTTACAATTGCTACTGCTGGATTGCTGTTCATCGGAACTGGGCCTATCGCTTATATCCGTACGTGTTTCTACACCGCTCTTTGGAAGTTCAGTTCATTCTGAAGGGTTCACCTGGTGCATCATGAAAACAGCGGTGATCGAAGTCGGAGCATTGATTTTCGTTTTGGGTATCGACCTCGCTGTTGAAGCGGCTTGGGAGACACGGAAAAAGGCTAGCACTTCCGAGTATATTACCATCCTCGGTAGGTCGAATTCGCAATTTCGCATGGAATATTATCGCTCTGACGCTGGGTTATTTAGGGATCATGGCCGTTATGACTGTGGTAAGTCGGAAGAAAGTTGCCTCCTGGTTTCGGCCGAAATCTTATAGACCGGGAACTTCTGATCGGAACAGTATGACTTTGTGTCCGGAGTTGTATTTGGGATCATTGTGGCGTGCATATCCTTTGTTGTTCAAAATTCACGAGGAGAGTCCATTAGGACCGCCTTCTCGGTAAGCAACGTGCTTCCTGCTCATAGGCCAAGAAGAGTCATGTTCTGACGCCACTGTGATTGTTTCAAATCCATCTCAAGGGTTCAACGGCTCTGTCGACCGTTAGAAGGCCAAGTGCGCATCGGAGATATCTTCAGGAAGTTGGGACCCAGACTTGCATCATGCGTCTTCAAGGTAACGATCAAACGTTCTAGGAAGATGATGGTTTGTTTCTGACTTTTATTCTTTGCACGTGTGTTAGGGTTCCTTTTCTTTGGTGGGTATAGTCACATGGAGCCTATCTCTTATTCTGTTTTCTCAAAGATCATCCCACTTGATCGTACAGGGACGATATCTAATGTGGAAGAAAGATGCCGGGCGTATCTCGAAGCCGCGACGTGGGAAAAAAAATCCGATTCGCTTCCTCATCATCGACCTCACCCTGGTCAGTGGGCTGGATCTTTCCGCCGCTGAGGCATTTGTTCGCTTGCATCGACTTCTCGAAGCTCGTCGCGTTCAGCTCGTCTTTTGTGGTCAGTCGACTACGTCCAATGTAGCTAAGGCACTTCGAGCTGTGAACCTCTGGCAAGGAAAAACCGAAGTGTTTGCAACTCTGAACGAAGTGAGTACTCATGACGATTTTGGCGCAGGGTCGTTGCACTCACTCCCACGTGGTAGGCACTTGAGTGGACTGAGAATGCCTATATCAAGCTATGGTTCAATTCACTGGCCCACAAACAGGAAGATGCAATAAACGTCCCTATCAGTGAGTTGCCCTTCGCCTTGCAACATCCCCTATTCACTCCGCGTCTTACAACTTCCATTCTTAGACGTTCGTAACAGACATCTCGATGTACCATCCCTCCTTAGCGAGTCTTTCACAAACTCACCGCGTCGCATACACGTCCGAGCTGCGGGATTAAGAATCATGGAAACGCCTGCTGGTCAGTCGCTTCTCTAGTTCTCGCACTGGGAATTGATCTCATACTCTCCTTCAGGTACACAAGAAGTTCCGAACCATAATGAGCAACCCTTCAGCACCATCATGAAAACATTCCCAACACATACCGACTTGGATGACGGTTTTATCTCCCGCATCACACCATATTTCAAACCTTTGATCTTCGAACCTGGCGAGGTTGTCTTCCGCCAAGGTGATATCGCAGATGGACTATATCTCATAGAATCCGGCATCCTTCGAGCTACGTACATCTTTGGCGAACACGCTGATGTTGTCGAGGAGAGTTGCGTGGCTGGTACCTTGGCGGGAGAGTTAACTGCACTTGCTGGGGAACCGAGAAATGCCACGATGGTCGCAGAGCGGCCATCTGTACTGTGGAAGATGGAAAACACAGCTCTTACTCGCCTGGAGAAAGAACATCCGGAGGACGCAAAACGGTTCACCAAGCTTGTTCTCAAAGGTGACGACTATCCTTCCTCCGTCATTTGTTTACCTCTGACGCGCTCGTCCTTTCAGCCTCAAAAATCGATCAGGACGTTTTACTTGCCAGTCTTGCTCAGTTGAAGTAGTGGTCACGCAGAGAACACGCTTGTACGCATTTTTGGACGAAGTTGTACGAGAAGTGACGAACAAAAGTAACGAAGTACACACATACACGAATACAATAAATATAGACATAGTTATCGCCTGAGTCGGAAAAGCTTTGATGTTGCTTCTTTGAACAATGACGTGGATCGATTTGAGGCTTGATTTGGTGCCAGATTGTGGTCGTCGAAAACGTTGTCTTTCATGTCGGATTGCACAGGTGGCGTGAAGTCCTCAACATCATCTCTCGAAGTCACTTCTTCAAGGATCTGACGAAAGCGCATAGCCCACCAAACGCGCTCCTCTCGCTCTTGGTTAACAGAATCCAGCCGTGTGTCCTGAAGTTGTAGTGAGGGGCTCCTTGGGAGGGGTTGACCGGATGATAAGACGGACAAAATCGTTCTTGGACGGGTATCTTTCCTTGAGCCATCCATACTGTATGCTTCTGGGAAACACAAAGAACGTAAAGTGTAGACGTAGCACCGACCGAAGGCGACATTCCATTGCTGACGAGCATCACCCAGCACAGTCGAAACGTTGTTTGGACCCACTTCCGATGAAGCTTGCAAACTGAAATACGTCCGAGTGGCGGAGGAATGGAGATGCTCGGTTGATCCAACATCCAGAGGCAGAAGATCCACAGCAATCAAGTGGCCTCCTGGAAACATATTTATAGGGGATAGAGGCACAACGATAGTAGAAGCCCTTACGCGCTTGAGTCGATAGGTCAGAAAAGCCAAGAACTCGAGCTAGTCCAATGTCTTCCAACAGATCCCATGAATCCTCAAGTGGTGAATCCATTCCATGATGCCTTGAGATTGGAGCCGTCCACTCCAGGGTCTCCGTAAGGACAACGACGTCAGTGAAGACGAAGGCGTATATCCATTTGTCCTCTTCAAAGGCTCCGTCGGCTTCTGGCTCTTCAGCTTTTGTTATCACAACCTTGATGTTTACCGAGGTATCGGGAGTGTTATCACGGTGTCGGATGTTAGACATGGAGTGGTCATAAGTGTTCTTGGGTGTACGACGCGGCGAGTGACGTTCCTTGTATTTTTTGGATCCCAAAGTAGGAGAGCCAGAGTCTGGTGACAACGGGTCTGGGCTGTATTTTCTGATGAGAGGAGTACGTAAAGGTGGAATCTCATTATTTGGATCCCCTTCTGCAGGACGTAACCTAAGAAGAGGGCCTTGCGCTATTAATCTTCGCTCTCTGCTGGCGAGCTCAAACTCCGTCGGAAGGCCATGAATCTTTGCAGCCAAGTGCTTAACTGTTGTGTATTCCGACTCCCGCAGTTTAACGGTCTGAAGAACCCTGATGACCAGTTCGGTGCTATGAAGTAATGAGAACATGCTCAAGTGATCAGGATGACGATGAGGCGTCAGACTCAGTAATTCCTGAAAATTGTTTTAAGAGAAGTTCAAACAACCGGGATCGGACGCTGACCTTGAAGCGAGAAGGATACCTGAGTAATCGCTGAACGGGCTTCTGCAATAAGACTGAAAGAGAGGCTGGGCATTCGGGGGCCATGGACTGTATCCTAATGAATTCCCCAAAATCACTGTCTGGATTAAGAGCAACGCCTTCAATCCAGTCTATACAGTCATCGAGGTGAACTAAGTAAGGCTGATAGACCTCAAGTTCTGAGACAAAAGGACGAAGTGACTCGGCAATTTGAGTGACAATAGGGAACTAGAGCAGAGATGAGAGGTACCACTGCACAATGACACATCTTACGTCACCTGGTTTTCTCTGCATCCTTGCATTGTTGAAAGTAATCTTCTGTGGAGCTGAGCGATATCATCCAGCCAGTCGAAAAGTTTTGCAATGTCTGAGTTCAGACCTGGGATCCACCGCGTATTGTGTTCGACACGAAGAGGTTGTACAAAGAGGCGAACTGCTGTTTGCAAGTCAGCGATGAAGTCCGATTCTGATCGACGCAATTCCCAGATCACTTCCTGGCGTCGCATTTCAAACACGTCATATTTAGCAAGTAGAGCAGCATAAGCATCATCAGTTAATGTCTCTCTCCACGTTTTCGGCTCAACACCACTGAGGTCATTGTGATGGCGCGTAGACGATGAATGATTCTCATCTTGTCTTGAGTCCTCCAGAGTCTTGAACAGCTCCTCGGCTGGAGCACTGATAGATGTACCAGTATCTGAAACAGAAGGTTCGTCGGTCACCAGCGAAGAGAGGTCGCTTTGGAAGCTAGAAAATGCGCTCTGGACGGCGGGCTGTTCTGGCGGAGAGTTTTTATTCCCCCGGATTTTGGGTGCGACGACATATGAGATTGGACTAGACACTGAGGGAAAATGACCAGCCGCAGGCTTCTGGGCTGAGTCATCAACTGGTGTCCAATATTGTTCCTCGGCATCATTGTCGCCAAGCCAAGACAACCGAGGATAGCCGGCGGAATGAAGAGCACTCGGGTTCGATTGAGACAGTGCGTCTGTCAAAGCCAAGAACAAAGGATTAGATAAAGGAGATGCGTCATTCGCCGAAGTGGGACCTGGTGACCGAGAGTAATCACCAACGTGAGAAAGGTCCCTAGCAAGGCGCCGTTGTTCGGGCTGTGCAGTTTGGGTAAGCGTGATCCTTTTGAGAGCAGACAATCTCTTCTTTCTATCAGTAGCAGGATGAACAGCTGTGGCTTGAGACACGCCGGGCGAGTTAAAGATACAAAAATTTTGAGCCTGAGCATTCGCATGCGGAGTACCTTGACCACAAGACGGCTGAGAATGTGTATCCTGGTGCACCGTGGTGAAGGACGGAATGATCGGCGTTGTATCGAGTTTCTCTTCATGGGGATGGGCACTCGGCGAACCAGGCACGAAATGTTCTGATACATGCAAGTCGCCTCCCGACTCATTTATTGTGTTGCGGGGCCTCGCGAGAGGACCTTGGGGAAGAGGAGCAGGTGTATCAAGCCTCCGCGCTTCAGTAAGGCTATTTGATTCGGCACGACTTTTCTTTGTGTCAACTGTCTGAGTACGACCTGAGACATACTCGTTCCCTGGAGCGAACGAGACGGCTCCTTTTTTCCTCGTTTGAGATGCGTGTTGCGGGCTAGTACACAACATAGTCAGGAACCGGAACATAAACTGGTCCGGAAGTCTCACATGCGAGATGATTTCGGGATTCCTCCAGTAGCGTCTTGATGGTCTGTGACGATATCCAAACTCACTGGAAGCGGATCTCGTTTCGACTTGTCAAAAGCAATCGTTGGGGAAATTTTGTGACTATGTCCACGTTTTAGGAAAGTTAAACAACCAGATGACTGTGATTACTGACCTGCGGAACGCAGAATGCGAAGAATGTCCAACACTTTTCGAGCGTAAGCCAGGCTTAAGTTCCCTCTTCTGAGAACGACTCCTTTCCTCATCAATCACGATCTGGGAGGTTTGACTGTCAGCATCGGAGACTTCTGATCTAAATTCCTCATTGGACGCCGGAAGGCCATTCCTCGTTTGGTCCTTAGATGCATTGATATCACTTATGGCCTTGACTTCAGGTATTTTCCTATCCAAATTCGGTTTTCGTGGGTTCGCTTCGCTTCTCCCGCCAAGATTGAAAGTTGACGCTCGCGGACGAGATGCAAACGTGACCCGAGATGAGGAGACAAAGCTTTTACTCCCCTCAGTGGGAGTGGCCCTGGGGTCAATGGGCCCCACATAAGAGTCAATACGATTCCCGGTGGGTGAAGGCGACGGAACAGAAGACGGGGGTTGGTCGAGAGCCTGCGGCCTTGGCATCATCATTGCAGCGTAGGGTGGTGTAGCCTGGTTACTCCCTTCGGCAAGCCGATATTGACCGGATATGGCAATCCTTTGGGGAGTATCGAAACGTCCCGCTCTCTTCTGGACGGCATCGCCAGTGAATGGGGAAAGAGGGACTTCTGCGACTGGTGGAGCAGCCAAACCACCATCTCTGCCTCTAACAGTAGTGCTTCCATCTTTAGATCGGGGCGACGGAAGGACATGCTGCAGTTGGGGCTGGGGGGCCATAGACTTCCGATACGGGTGTCCCGCTTCATCAGATGAGGAAATATCGTCTGCAATGTGCCTTTCTCGTCTGGGGGGAAGATTAGAGGGTGAACGGCTCCGGTAACGAGCAGAAGAGACTCTCGGAGGCTGCAAACGGGAGGATTTGTGATGCTTGTTCCCGACCGGGTTGTCACGCGGCGCAGAAATAGAGTTAAACCCCAACGATTCGGCACCCAGCTCAGACTCTTTCAAATCTTTGGCCGAAGATACTTCAAAAGAAGGAGAAACCGCACGGTATCGAGGTTGAGGTGAGCGAGGTGGCCTTAAGTTCTTGGGATCAGCAGAGCTTGGGTTTGGGAATTCCACGGCGCGAGGATATGGTGGCATGGGAGGTCGAAGCTCTGACGCGCTCTCCGAGCTGCTTTCTTCGACACGGACGTGATTGGGCGCGTTTTGCCTCGGTATGTGGCGTGTTCGCTTCATTGGAGTGCTGAGTCGGTGGTTTTGGACGCGTCAATGGGAGAACAAAACAAATATCAACAAAGCCCTGTCGGTGCTGCCTTCCACTTAGTCGCTCATTTCACTTGCATCGTCTCGAGCCCATCTCGAACCCCCCGGATGGCTCTCTTCAGGACCGCGAATGGGGCATACAAGTTCTACTTGAGTGGCCTTCACCCCGTTCTGCAAAAGGAACTACGTCAAATCATACATGTGAGAGCTCACTTCTGTTACTCTGCCAAATGTCCTCATCAGCAACGAAGGAACAAGAGGGTGAGACCGTCTCTGATCCTTTAGATGCGGATTATGTCCTCTGGGATCCTCGAGATAATGCCTCCAAACCTCAGGTAGAAGATGGAACCCCCGTTGTGGTAAATAGCTCTTGCCTCCGTTAGGTTCTCCTCTGAATACGCTCAAGTGTTTCACGTTCATTCCTGCATGTATTCAAGCCCGTGAGCTACTCGATACGACGAACCTAGATGTCTACCCCGTTTTCCTCTCCGGGAATGAAAACGCAAAAGGATATATGCGTGGCTTCATACCGCTTGAATTTTTCATACACCAGACGATCCCGCGGGGTGATGTGAGAGAATTATTAAAATTTGACATAGCGGTAAGCGATGTCCTGTCACCGATATTGATTCTCAGCTTGATGTGGATAGAAATATGGAGGTGTAGTCACTCGTGTTGACTCAGACGCCGATCTGATTCTTGTCGGCGACGAACCTGGGAATGACATCGAGCAATACTATCGACTCGCTAAAGGCGAAGTTCAGGGCATATCATGGTTCCGTGACTGTATCCGGAAAAAACGCGCAAAGCTTTCTTCATACAGAGTAACCAGGGTGCCTGGCCGACGACCAGGGCAAGAGTAAGGACAACCAATGCTTCTCAGGATAATGATAGTAGCTAATGTTTTCAAGGACTCGCCCTTTCACTCGAGAGGACATGACGAATCTAGTACGATACGCAGGTAGGAAGACCTCTCCGGCTTACAGTTAGCGTGAAACAACTTCTGTCCCGTACAGCACGAATGGCCCCCAAAAAATCGAGCCAAAGACGGCCCGGGTCACGAGCCGGATACTTGCTCTACGAGAACCTCTACAGAAACCTTGACATCTATCCGTGGGCCAAAAATCACACAGTGCAATCTTGGAACAACCATTACAAGAAGCACATGGAGTTTTATGATAGGCAAATCGACCGCTATAAAGAGAAACATGGCATCTCAAGTGGGGATGATGAATTTGAGGATCTGGACTTTCACAGCGAGGGGTCGGTTTCTCCCCAGCGTCACGAGCTTCCTAAACGTCGGCTCCCACGACGCGAATCTCCCCCTGATATTCCAGAGGGCTCTGGAAATGGCAGTAGACGCAGCAGGGCCACCTCTGAAGACGATAGCGATGGGGAATATCGGCCACGGCCAAAACCCAGGAAAATCGCCCGCACCCCTGCGATTCATCATATCTCCCACATAGCTGGGATCAGTGGTTCGTCTGCGGAAGAAAGGTCAGACAGCGCCCAGTCACTTAGGCGGCCTACAGTGCGAGAGCTGCGCCCGGGGCGGAATTTAAGTGCCCATTCGGCGGACTCCCCCCGAGGCGAAGTTCCACGATCTGAGAGTCATTCTCGTGATGCAGACGAGTCAAATAGCAGCGAGAGCGGATTCGGCCGTATCAGAGAAGGGGATCCAGAAAATCAGGCGGAGTGGGCCAAGCGGCCGCGCAAACTTCAGGAAAGTCCAGACGGTGATGGAAACAGTGCTGCTGCTAACGAGTCGACACAAGAGGTAGAAGAAGACCTGTAAGCCTACCCGTTTTGCTGGTTACCCACCATCTCAAACTCTTGACAGCCGAGGAGGGGAGGAAGAATCGAGCGCGGAGGTTGAGCCTCCTCCCAAGAACAGTACGAATATACTTAGTTCACATGTCACACGGACCCGACATGCACGGCGCGCGGGATTGATTTCTCCACCTAGAAGGGTCACGCGTTCCGGGGCCCGTGTCCAAGCTGGACGCCGAGTTACCCGGCAGAGGGGACGTTGACGACTTCCATTCTGTGTCACTTTACTCCTACACCTCGTTTTTATACGGCAGTAGCTTAGCGTATGTGGAGACAATTCGATTACACGCCCAGACTTGTGCGCTACCGGCCAATATTAAATGGGAACAGGATTGTGGTTGGATACCAGTCGCACAACCAACGAAAAAAGTGTTTGTGTAAGGAATGATGGGAACAATCCGATATGAACTATTACATAGTATTAGTATTAGGCGACCACAATGCGAGTCTTATTTAATCTCGTACCTCTGTCAAATTGCAAGCTTTGAGTTCAGTTTACATAGGCTTGATCTTCGCGACCCGATTCGATGGTCTCCTCTCTGCTTGCGGACGCGTTATCAGATCCATCATCAGTCCTCCAGGATCTCTATCAGAAGAACCGAGAAGCAAACAACTTCCCTCGTGTGGTGGTACACCACTTTGCGTCGGTCTTCGCTTCTGATGCGGACATCCAACAAGTACGCATTCAGAACCTGTTTATCTGCACTTGTTCAGGAAATGTCGATCGTATAGATTCCCAATCTAACCACGGCCAAAGGTTGCCTCGATAGCCTTCTATCCGAGAAAAGGCCTCTAGTACGTTTTCGTGCTATGGTGCAATCGACTGGAACAGAAGTATATTGCAAAGAGCTCCCTGCCCGGCAGCTCGGTGGCTGGGGACTTGCAGAAGAATGTGGAGACCGAGTGGATGACGATCCAACTTCACACGCCTATGAGCATTTCCTCGATGATCGGACGACCCTTTGGGCAGTATCTGTTCCTGGTGAATCGGCCTGGGCATCCGGTACAGCGGTCAGTTGCCTACAGGCTTGCGTTAGTCTCATTCTGATGACGATTAGGTTGGATCAGAAGAAGGTCCGCCCATGACGTCTCCCTTTCCTCCGCTTGTCTCATCTCCCGCATAGAAACGCTGAGTCAAACAAGTGCTCAATCCAAGAAGAATCCTTTTCCTTCCCAAGCACACCTTGGAGTCAACGTCAAAGTAAGCCGTCATCTGGCTGACTGAAGGTGCAGTGCTGAACCTCCTTCTCCCATCCAGCTTTATGGATCGGAGGCAGAATCCTTAAAACTGACTGATGTTGTGACGTTTGTTGGCATCCTTGTAAACGCACCGTGAGCCTAAAAACTTCCCTCATCCCGCCGCATCTTATCATGTCTTCCTGCGATCCCAAAAAGGATACTCAATGTTAACGAAGAAGAGATTGAGGTGCCGACTTTGCATACCGTGTTTCACCGTTCTCCGGATGAGAGCAGACTGCCCTTCAAATTCCCTATGGATATGCTTGTGTTGGGCGCCCCAAATGACATAATTCAAAATCTCACACTGGGCCCACTCCATGCTCTACGTTCCGAACTTATCGCCTGGATTGCCGCGGAGGGCCTTGGCGGAGACACCACCGTCGCCGAGTGGATCTTGATGGCGTGCATAAGTCGTGTGTGAGCCAAAACGCTCCCCTTCTTTCTCCATAAACTAATGTTCTTTAGACAATCTCGAGAACCACCCATACTTCCCCTTTCCTTGACTATCTCCTCTTTTCCTGCCCCGCCCCCTATTCCGAACACCTCACCTACAAGGGTGATTCTCGAGCCAACGATCAAGCACGTTCTACAGCTGTTGCTTCCTGCCCTAGTCCATTTGCCCCTCTCTATCTCCTTCATGAACGAATCCCGCTTCCAACCACAAAGCGTGGACGAGGAGTTGCTTAGTGGGTGTCTCCAGCTTCCCGCTGGGACTGTGGTCCTTGTTTCGGACAGCGCTGTCTCTGAAGGGACGCTTCACGAGAGTAGGTTTACGACTTGAGGCTTAAAAACTAGATCATGATCGTTCGCTCCCCAGCCGGAGTGCGAAATGTGGCAGCACTCAAACAATGCGTCAGGAATCAGACGCTGGATTATATTTTCCCTTATAGTTCGTTCCCTTTCCAAACGGATTTGGAGTTCATAGCTCTAGCACAGGGACGAACATCACCTTTCGTCGAGGTATGAGAATCCAGCGTTATGGGTGACTGGATCTCACATTGTTCGACAGACCGATGTTTACGTGCCATTGAGACCTGGGGAGGGCGTTTCGGTGCTGTATAAAGACGCTGCGCAGGTACAGAAACCACCAGCGGAGAAATTGAAACACTTTAGGGATTTGCTCGGAGGCGCCAAGCAAGGCAAAGTCCAAATCAGTGAAGAGATATCGCAAGTAAGGGTTTTGGTCAGCCAATACTGAACCGAAGCCAAGTATTAACGCTATCATCCAGTTCATTCAGCAAGACTATGTTCGGGGGCGTCAATCATCCCCTTCTCCTGTCACGTCCGATGATCTCATACTTCGGATGTCATTGGCAAGGTGTGCATGCATCTTACGGCCCTATCGTTATTGGACCACTTATTTTGACGTTGTTTCAGGTTGATGTCTCTATCCTTTCATTCCCCAGAACTTACCAAGGACATTTGGGCGATCACGAAAAAACTGGACGATTCAAGGAAGGAATTACTGAGAGCAACGGCGCCGGGGGTTGATCAAAGAGGACCAATCTGAAGTACGAGCTTCATCGTGTGACGCGTTCACCGTCTATAATTCGTTAATCTAGCATAAATGGACATCACTGAGTGTGAGTGTGCGCCGCAGCCAGGGCTGATCCTTTAAGCTGCGCAAAGTCTCCAGATTTGAGACACATTCGTTGGAAGACGCCCCCTTCTTTGCAGATGAGATTTGCTGGAGTGTCCATTTCCACTATTTTCCCTTGATCGAGTACTATTAATCGATCATAATCAATGACCGTACGCTGGGTAGAAGCAAAGTCAGAATCACGGTGCGTTAGCCAACGTTAAGTTATTCACCAATCGGTGCGCAATCGTGATCAATAAGCTTGACTTGAACTCATCTCGTATAGTGTTTTGAATTTTTGCGTCTGTCTCGAAATCAATGGAACTCTTCCTTCGTAGTTAGCACGGAAAGAACTGATGGCCGAACTAACCACTAACCGTTGCCTCATCCTAAATTTGGAGAAATAGGTTTGGATAAGAGCGAAGCGTGCAGTCACACAAAAACGCTACGAACCATTATGACAATCGCGTTTTGTCTGGACAAAAATTATTCCTGAATGGCGATTACTCAATGAGGCACTCACCTCAGCAAAGCACGGGCCATCGCGATGAGCTGGAAACAATCAGCTTTTGCAAGGCATTAAGGCCTGATGCAACGTACCTGTCGTTGACCTTGGCTAAAGTTCAACCCTCCTGCTGCCACTTGTGTGTCCAGATTGATGTCGATTTTGGGCTCCATGTTTTCAGGAAGGGTGGCGACTACCTGCACGGGAGGTGGAATAGGGATGGACCCTGTCTCTGGATGCGGCTGGTCCTCAGGCTCCAGGGCAGCGGGGGAAGACGCTCGGGTAGATGCTCTAGTTGATCTTCGCGAATTGTACTGACTCGGAGTGATGAGCTGAACACGGAATAACGAATCGAGAAGCTCGTCATCAGAATGTTCTAAGGTACTGTCAGAAATCACCCAGCGGCGAGAAACCACGAAATGAACCTTCGAATGGATCCAAGTTCTCTCTGATAGTACCACTGAAAAGTGTCTTAACGGAACTCAGTCCCAGTCGCGAAACCCATGACGATAAACTGTACACACCGCATCCTGCGGTATCAACGTCTAGAAATATGGGACTTGAAATGACTACTTGCTGTCAAGGCTGGCTATGACTCACCACTCGAGACCGAAGGTCTTGTACTCCGATAGTGACAATGTCAATGCCATCGATAATAATGCTGCCCTCGGAAGGGTCAACAAAACGGAGAAATGACAACGCAAGGGTCGATTTTCCAGATCCGGTCCTCCCCACCAATCCTATTCTCTCTCCGCTGCGTAGCGAAAATGTAACGCCTCTTATCACCGGATCCAACTCCTTGGCATATTTAATAACGAGGTCATTCACATGCACTATATACTCTGACGAGTTTGATGGCCAATAGGCAGGAGGTCGGTTTGATTCGATGATGGCGGGGGGCTCCTGGGCCAGATTCAAATACTCAACAACACGCTCAACGGCGTTAGTGTCTACAATAGATATGTGAAAATGAAGTGGTAATAATGATGGTGCTCACCCATTTCCAGCTGAGTGATGAACCGACATGTCCAGTACACTGAGGATGTGAACGCCATGGCGCTCGTAATGCAAAGACCTGGGCATGAAACTTAAAATGAAGATGGGTGCTTAAGCCGAGTCGCAACTGACCGGCTGTGCCTGGATCAACGCCCAAGGATATTGCTACAATAGTTGTAAGCAGGATACTGGTTGCAGATAGGAAATCAAAATGGAGCAGTAGGAACCGGTTGGCCATCCAAAATTGGAACCACATTTTAGTCGTCGCATCCACCTATGGCTCAAGTTAACGCTCCTTCAACTCGAAAGAAAGCGAAGATTTGTACTTTGGTGTGAAGGGTGTTGAAGAAACGCTGTTCCGCTGAATATGCACTATGAACTGGGTGAGAACCGTTAGGCGGTGAACTGGACAGAAGACATACCGAACTGTCACAATTCCATCCAATAGTTCACCGAAGGATGCAAAGATGGGGCTGCGAGAATTGCTTTCCATACGCCTCAAATCCCTTCCTGTTCGCACATAAGCAACAGAGTACCGGTAGTAGAAATATCCTGAAAACCAATGTCAGTTTCCAACTTGTTTCTTGGTCCAAGGTCAGGCACACGAACCCATGACGCAAGCAGCGGGCAAAAATAGTGGGAGGACTATTGTAACCGTAAGCATGGCGGCGATGAAAGCAGCAATCCACGATGTTGTACCGCGTAGAGACGCGCTAACGTAATGTGCGGTTAGTAAGCTGCTGCTGCTGAGAGACAGAAAGGGTAGTCAGACCTAATCGAGGAGTCGATCGTAATGATATCAGAGCCAAAACGGTTGAGAATCCTCCCTGGGGAGAAAAATGTAAGATCACAATAGGAAAATGTTTCCTTTCAGATATACCTATCGGCGTTGTATCAAACCTATTTGACAACGAGTAGTTAGCACCTCCCGACCTCTTAGGTTGGTAAATCGCTTCACCATCTCATTGGCGAACGAACAACGGAAACAAGAAGCCTGTTAAAAAGTCGCCTAGTGAAATCTTGTGAATAAAAAAACCCCACCCCAGACGAAACATTCGCCCAACCTCGATGCAGTGAATGCTCCGTAATATTGCACGATGGTGTTCATACAGGTGACCAGAGCGCCACCCAGAGCGATGGCTCCATATATCAGGACATAAAACAGCGGGTGAGTGTACGGCGATGGCAACGCTTCCGCGCTGATCGTAGTCCCATTGGCGTATGGTAAACCGATTGCCATCTTTGGTTCGAAATGAATAACCGAGGAATAACTGGAGAAGTATGTTGACACAAGGGAACTGTGCTCGTGAGATTCGTAGGCAATACCCCATTGCCTTATCCACAGCTTTTCTCCCAAAACACTGAAGGGGATCGTCAGAGAGCTAATGGTTGGTTGAAACGGTAGCAATTACTCTATCTGATAGAGCACGATGCCAGCGACCACGCAAGGCAGAACCCAGTACCCACACGCGGTCAGGTATGTTTTATACACAGACCATTTGACGCTTCCTTTCGCCCTTTCCTCGTCTTTGACGAGCTTCCGCGCCGATCTACTGTTGCCATTCGCTTCCGGAGAACCTTCCACGACCGGATCGGATTCTTCAGGAATGTGAGCGATCTGTGGCGAGACCTCAACCTGAGTCACTGCATCCTGCTTAACCGCATCCAGTTTGCCTTTGGAACGTAAATCATCTATCTCTCCTTGGAGAGCGATACGTCCGTCCAGCATGCGAACCAGGTAGTGTGCTCCTCCGAGCACCAAATCTAGTTGGTGAGTGACAAGCTAAGAATCCATGTCAGCGCCCAGCAGAATGGTCGAAAATACAGTGTCTTCACAATAACGGTTCTGTTTCTCATCAGGGGTCCCTGGAATAACTTATCCCATAAAACATTTGCAGTGTGACTGTCAACTATAGCCGACACTCAGTCTCCTTCGCGTCAAACAAGCGCTTCAGCTCACCAGCAGCAAATACATCGTCAAGGAGCACAAACTTGGAATAGCTGTATGCTGCACGAGCCAGTGCAACTCTGTCATGGAAATTTCAGAAAAAGTCAAGGGTAACCATCAATAGCCACAATAACCTTGCTTTTTGGCCACCAGACCTTAAGTCGCGTTTCGTCAGCGGCACGAATAGAATGATTCCGCAAGGATACGCACAATGTTACACCACGAGCACCGACCTCCGTCGCATCTCCGTCTTCAAATATAGCAAGATCTGGCGATAAGGCGCAGCACTCGAGCACTTCGTTATAACGTTCGCTATCGTATTTTGCACCAAACAAGATATTTTCCCTTATCGACATATATTGAAGCCCTATCACAACGTCAGTACCTGCCGGTCACATTCGATGAAATAAAGCCTACAGGGAGTCTGAGCACAATAACTAATGGAATTAGTGAGACCGAACTCGTCCACGCTGGAAGGATCCTTGGGGAGTAAGCGCTGCCCTTCAGGAAGCATAGTCATTTCACCGAGCAAGGCAAATAGAAGTGCACTCTTTCCCGACGCCGTAGGACCTTATGAAGGCTGCATTCAGGCATCGGAGCTGGATGGATCTCCTGGCGGACGCACCTGTAATCACTGACAGCACACCGTTAGGGAACTCCACGGATATGTCACGCAATTCGAAAACCGAATCCTCGGGTGCATGTGTAACTTTAGATGCATCCACTGCGGTGTCTGTCCGAGGTGACGTCAGAGACAGGGTGGAGTGAGACGCGCCTTTAGCCCATTGAAACGATGCACTCCGAATCCCGATGCTTGAAGGTTGCGACGAAGTACGGACGACTTCTCGCTTCAAAGATGAGACTTCCGGGTCAACCTCCTCCTCGTTCAGGAACTCTTCGATACGCTTGAGGGAAACAGATGCTTGGAGCAGTTGAACGACGAAGTTAGGGATGACGTTCAAAGGGATACGGAGCCTTGTGCGAGAAGGTCAAAGCTACCAGCAAACGGAGCTGCATCTAGAAACGTACATGTTGAATATGGCGATGGCAGTGAACGCGGTTGGGACAGTGAGTTCCCTTTGGAGAATCACAGTGTAAGTCAAGAATGTGACAATGGACACGGATATTGGCGCAACGCTCCAACTTCATTTTCCATCAGGGTGAGTACAAACGAGACAGGTGCAGAGTCACCCACAGCAGTGAGAACAGGATAGTATTTGTCCGTTCTTATATTGTTCACTATCATTGAATATGTCTCCGGTATCAGCGACAGGCATTCGCACCTTTAGCCAATATCTTCAATTCTTTCTTCCGTGCATCTTGAGATCGTCTGATTAGACGTCAGCGGCTTGAGCAGATAAATTCACGGAAGAACGAACCCCAGAAAATTCTCCTCCCATGCGAAGAATTTGATAAATTTTATTGCTTAGCGAGCAAACATTAGTGGCGACTTGTTTCGAAGGAGCGACGCCCGAGAACTTACAACTTATGAACTCGTTTAAAACTCCCATACGTTTGTCCCGAGCGGCCGACAAAGATTTGTTTATCTTTGTATTAAAATCGGGTCATCATGGTGAATGCAAAACCTGCTTTTTAGTACGTACCTTCACTGCCCTCCGTGACAAATAAGCGTTCAGAGGGGCCGTCAAGATCAATACGAGGAAGCCAGAGAATGCTGCCCAACCCAAAATGCTACGAGAGCTTGTGTTAATACGGAAGTTCCAGCAGAGGAAACGTAGAGACGTACTTGAAGAGGAAGGTGCCGGCAATGATGATCTCTACTGGTGCCCCGTAAAAGAAATATGCTGATGAAACGAATATTGCCACTCGGTTCGCATCACCGCTCATGAGGTTGACGACTTTTCCGATGTCTGCGCTGCTCGTGTCATCCGTTGGTTTGTTCTTCAATTGACTTCTGGATGAGAAAAAAGACCCCTTCTTATTATGCCCTTTGACTTCTTCGTCATCTTTCCTTTTCTTAAAAGTCCCAGATACGTCACGCCTCTTGAGCGCTTTATCGTATACAGATGCCATGAGCTCCGATCGCAATCTGGTGGCAGCCCGACGACCAAAGTAAAGGTGTTGAGCATCAGCCTGGGCTTTGCAGACCAAGCAAACAAAGGAGAGGATTGCGTAAATATAACCCTTGGAACGCGCCTCCGGGGTGGGACTCTCGAAGGTCTTGAGGATCTCGTTGAGAAAGAATGGTGAAGCGTATTGGAGAAACACAGACGCCTCAGTAAGTACGAAGTCGACCTGCGCAATGCGTGGATTAGACATCTCTTACTATGCGGGGGAACAACTGAACTTACGAACAAATCGCGCCTATTGGCCACGAACAGTCGTCGTAAGAGCGATTTATTTTGGAGTGTATTGAACTTCATGAAGAGAGGTTTAGATTGCGAGGTGACGCTCATGTCTGGGACGTCTTCTTCGTTCAGTGTTCGTACTAGGCCCTGAGCCGTGGGGTTAGCGGAAAAAAATTAATGAACAACACCACGAGACACGAACCTCGTGCATAAGAGGCTGCATCCAAGAGAAGGAAATCCAACCCCAAAGCGTAGTATAATCTTCAGGATGCTTTCCTTCTATTTTCCCGGAAGTGACGTTCGCCGAAGGTATATCCAGTGGAGTTCCCAGGACAATGACAAGAACCACCAGGGAGGCGAGCCATTTACTGACCAAAAGCGCGAATAACAAAATATTGCGCATTTCTGTTCCCATTGCGATTTTCCCGTATATTAGGGCTGCGATATCAACAGTGGATATTGTCAAGTGGAAACCAATAAGGACAAATAGGTCGAATGGGGTGGTGACGATGGGCCGAATTAGAGGCCGCAAAAGGACGTAAACCCAGGAAAGTGCCACGAAGAAAGGGAATATCAAAGCTCCCCAATGAGATTCCACCAATGCAGCAACTGCATACGCCCCATATATGATCCAAATAATGGCCTCCGTTAAGCCGATGGAAACAATGAGGCCCGTTTTCCAGTTCGAAATCCGGGATGGTTCGTCTCTGAGTTCTGTAGTATCAGATGCGCGATCGAAGAGAAGAGTATCTTCCGCCTCTCGCTTGGTAATGAACGCAGAACAATGTTTAGTGATTGGGGAGAAAACCCGGTGAACAGCCGGCTGAGAGCCTAAGACGAAACTGATAACAAGGAAAAACGGAACAAAACCACCTAGTATCAAGCGAAGGAGTGCATACGGCTCCTCCTAAAATTGAAGCACATGTTAACTCTGTTATCATTATACAGCACACCGTGAAGAGTACCCATGCATGCCAACCTCCCATTGAGCAGCGAAGTTTGAAGCGGTTAAGAGCCAATTACCGTAGTATATTCCGCGCGCCGAGTCCAGGAATAACCCTTCTGGGAAAGAATTATAAGCGTTCTGACGCTGAAGGTGCGGGTTCGAGCACACCAAGTTTGCAGGCGAATGCACGCGTTTAATGAAGCGTGGGAACACTGCGTAGTTTTGGGTTACCGATCTGGGGTGAACATGATTATGAATGGCCAACCACAGCGCAAATTATTTGTCGACCATAAGGTGATGTGTCGGCATGCTGCTGCTCTACTGATGTTCAAAGCAGGACTTAACATGTCCTACGGATCCAATTATCACACTGACTGACGTCACAAAAGCACCACGAAATGCGCTGCTTCCTAGCGGAACTCTTAGCTTAGTAACGATCGATCGTTCACATTCCTAAGTTCCTCCGAGAGTTAGTGATTGCCCATCCCCAAGTCGAATCGAATCCTGAACGCCCATTTGTGTATCACCGGTACCTACCGCTGACAATCTTCTTGGCGCCAACATAAGCAGTGACGACCACGTTGCCTGAAAAATACAGCCCAGTTACCTGGGCCAAGTCGCCGTATTTAGCTTCTGTGGTTGTATGCATGCGCTGGTGCGACGTTCCTCGCTGATATGAATATTTCGCCCAGACCGGCCGGGTTCCTGGGCCTTGCTGGGACGACGAACATCCGATATTTCCAGATTAGAGACTCGCTGGCGACTGTAGGAAGTACATTGCCGACGTGATGCTGCGGATTCACGATGTCAATGACACACCGAGAATTAGAGGAATGTCAATCAGGAATACACCCGAACGCCCGAACGTTAAAAGTACAGCATGATATGACTGATAAGTCAGCCACAAACGATTCGCTTCATTAGTACGTTCTAAATCCCCAAAACAAAAAAAAACGGGAATACAAGCAAGGATGCGCGCACGGGAAATCGGGGGAGTGGATGTCCTCGAACAAATCTCTCGGATTGTGGCGAAGATCTGATGTGGATCAGCAGAATTGGTAGAAAATTAGGCGGGGAATGGAGGCCTGGCCCCAAATCTCGGCACGTAGGCGTCTGGAGTGGTTCTTCGGGAGTGAAACCCATAGGATCCAGTTCGCATGATGTTCTCGGAACACAATGAATATCTTAGACGTACACCCTCCAGGTTCCCACATATCTATCAACTGCTCCGTAGGATCGTGCTTGAATTCTGAAGGTAGCAAAATTACTTATCCGGAAAAAGTTCGCCTCATTCTTGATGAACCATCGGGTGTTATGGAACAGCGACAAGCAACGGCCTTGAAGTTGGAATGTGCGGACTCCGGGGCCTGCCGTTTACTTCAACATCATCATTCGGAATGCCGCAGACAACTATCACACCTCACGACCAATCTCGCTATGTGACCAGGGAGTTGACCACAGATTACGATTCGGTATTGAACAAAGCGTCAACGGCGCAGAGGTCGTGGGCTAAAGTGCCGATCGAGAAGAGAATCGAGATCGCAAACCGTTTCGTTGTGCGTTCCTTCGGGTTGATGTGCCCGCAGCGAATCATTCTCAACCAGGTCACGCCTGAAGGAGGAGTTTGAGAAGCTCTCCGAACAAATTATTCCAGAGTTGACGTTGCAAATGGGCAGGTGAATATATTTGAATACCGCCACAGCAGCTTCATAATAAGTACATCTCATCCGTTAGGCCTGTCTCGCAGAACGCGGGGGAGATACGAGGGACCCTTGATAGGTCCAAATTTATGATCTCCATCGCCTCATCGTCTCTTTCGGATGTTGAATTGAAGGATTCAGACAAGCCAGGTTTCCGGCGTTTTATTAGACGAGAACCTTTGGGCGTAGTCTTTGTGATCTCACCCTGGAAGTAAGCAATTTATTGATGTTGCATCACTTATTAACGCATAATGTTACTTTGTTCTGCAGCTATCCTTACCTTACAATGATTAATTCCGTGCTTCCGGCCCTTATAGCTGGAAACGCCGTAATTTTGAAGCCGTCTCCGCAGACACCGGTAAGGAGAATCCAATCGCATAGTAATGATTCCCTGAACGCTGTCCGCATGCATAGCTAACGGCAGAAAGACTTGCCTCGGCATTTTATACAGCCGGCCTTCCACCCGAGACTCTTCAAGTAGTTCATCTGACCCCTCAGGGCGTAGAGGCCGTTACCAAGCACCCCAAAGTGGATTTCGTCAGCTTCACCGGAAGTGTCCAGAATGGGAGAGTTGTTAGTCGAGCAGCTGCCGCAAGCGATAATTTTCCTGGAGTCGCGCTAGAGGCAAATACGTGATCATTTTTTCTAGCCTGTACACAGCTGACGTCATTGACATAGCTCGGAGGCAAGGATCCTGCATATGTAATGGGTAATGCGGATTTCGATTATACCGTTGCAGAATTAGTGGATGGTCAGTACATTCTGCATGCAGCCTGTGAGCATCCGGAGCTGACGACGAATCGTGAAAGGCGCCTTCTTCAATTCCGGACAAAGTTGTTGTGCCGTCGAGGTATGTGACTCCCGAGATAATGATGTCTGGTGCTGCTCATCGGACACCTCTGGTCATAGAGGATATATGTCCATGAGTCGCTATTTGACAAATTCGTCAGAGCATATGTCGAGCTTGTGAAGGTCGGTCACTTGCGTGACCACGGTTTCGACCCGCTCTAACTTGACACCTTCAAACAGAAATACGGGCTTGGTAACCCAACTGAGAAGGATACGAATCTTGGACCAGTGGTCTCTCTGGCTAGTGCCGAAAAAATTCGCAAGCAGGTTTCGGACGCGATTGGCGCTGGGGCTAAGGCTTTGATACCGGAGCAGCTATTCCCCTGTGCGAGAGAGTAAGTAGAAGAAATCGATTAAAGCGTGTTGCCTCCTTCTGACCCCGCAAAAGAGGGACAACGTATGTTGCTCCACAGGTGCTTATTGATGTGACCCATTGTTAGTCTTTCTTCGTCGCGTCGAGTTGTTGCTAATAGAGTGTCCCAGCCATGGATGTCATGAAAGAGGAAACTTTTGGTCCTGTCGTTGGGATCATGAAAGTAGGCATCCGCCAGTATTCTGCTAAATTCTTCGACCTTACATTTGGTGGATGCAACAGGTTTCATCCGACGAGGAAGCCATAAAATTAATGAACGACTCGCCTTACGGCCTCACAGCGTCTATATGGACCTCTTCGCAGGATGATTTCCTCGAGCTGGTTGACAAGGTCGAGGCAGGGACGGTATACCAGAACCGCTGTGACTATCTCGACCCAGCTCTTAGTTGGACTGGAGTTAAATGGAGTGGAAGAGGCATCAGCTTGAGCAAATTCGGTAAGTTGCTCCATGAAGAGACTGCGCCACCTTGATTTCGAATGACTGTGGTGATGCTAGGATATGACCAATTGACGAGGGTGAAGAGCGTTCACATCAAGTATAAAACATCATGAACACTATGAGGGCATTGTACTATGCACGTAGATAACCGTTCGAATAGTCAACAATAAGATTAGGCCAACTCTACTACCATGTATGACTCGGAAGTCATCTTCGTCGAGGAAAACATGTTGTGAGACAAGGTTAAGCCGGCCTGGAACGACGACGGAATCGCCGCCCTAGTTAGAGTTGTGGGGAATGCGGGAGCTTGAGCGTCCGAAGCAAGGAATTAGAAAAAATCGAACAGCACATATTTTCTCTCTCACAGTAGGAAAACCTCCAGATTTGGGCTACCTACCAGCAGAGAGAAGAACGTCCAGGCCAATGGCTCTAGCCTGCAAGGGGGGTGGAACAGAAAGTCGCTGTCGTATTTGAACATTCCTCGAGCAAGGAGAGGCGCCCCGGGAGCTGGCACTTTGGTTTCACACAGGACAAAGGGAAAGCAACGAAATCGAAATCAGGGATGCGATTAAACACACTTTAAATGCATCCCTGAATCTGATGATGTTAGCGCTTGTTAGTGACAAGGATACTGAAGTCTGGGGATGATTCCTGGGCTCCAGCGGAAACAAAATGACATGAATAAACGTAGAATTCAAACTAAAGGGGCGCAATGGCCAAAGATCAAGCGTTTGGGGTGTCGGGAGGCAGAAGTAGGGTCGTTAAACATACAGGCAGTTGAAAGTGAACATAAAAGCTGACAATAGAGGAAGAACAATCAGAAACACACAGGTATGAAAAACGAGTTTTGGGGGATGGCCTCTGTGGGAGGATGTTTGGGTTACGTTGGGTATAAAAGCAGAGGGAGGACAATAGGAGATCGGAGAAACAGTACAAGCATGGAAAGCGGATAGAGTTGAAAGAAGCACACTGAAAATGCGAAGTGACAGTAGAATCCACCACATTGACACATAAAAAGATGACGTTTGGACGGGGGGAGTTCGTCCTGGGAAGGAGCAAACGGAACGAGGTGAGCACGGAGGCCTGAGATACAAAGAGATGGAGTGAAAGACTGGCAGAAATGGATAATGGAAGTATGAAAGTGGCAAAAGCGACCAAGAGCATTACCTTACGATGTTGCTTAGGTATCGGCTCGGTATCTGTTGCCAACAGAGAGGCCATCAACTTCAAAACCTTCCAGGTCCTGAGAGTAGGTCCCTGTGTCCTCGGCTTGTGCGGACATAGTTTGGGGAGCCGTGGAATCGACGGCCATGCTTAGGCCCATCTGCAGGTCCTCCAATGCTTTGAGGTTCGCGCTGCACGCATCAGACCTGGATTGAATCGTCTTGTGAAGGATCATGATCTTGTTGGTCAACGCTTCCTTCTCCGCATCCGATTCCGCAGAATCCCGCTCACGAATTAGGAGACTTATCTCCTCACGAACCCCTGAAATCTCCATCTGACCTCCAATCGCACACACCATCGCAGCCACCGCTGTGTTGACTGCAGCGATCGCATGTGTTTGTGTGTGGGCGACCACGGACAAGGTATTCACAATGTCCAGTATTTGTTCCATCTGCTCCGCAAGGCAGAGTATAACACGATACGCACTCGCAACCATAATCAGGGCCTGTAGAAGATGCTCGGCAAGCTGGTCATAGGCCCTAGACATCTTGTAGGCAGGGCCATTCACCGTGGCGACAGTAGACCGGGGAACAAAGAAGCCCTTCTCATTGAGGTGGTAGAGGAGTTTCGGGGGTGAAATATCGGCACCAAATGAGGCAAGGTATTCGGTAAAGAACAAAGGATTATTGGTGATTTCAGAGATGGTGTCCCAATCTTTGACGTAGAAAACTAAAACGTTATTCCCCAGCTCCAAAGTACTTGCCAGATAATGATTAGGAAATCTGGCCTGCACAATGCCAGCCAGTTGTTGAGCAAAGTTTTCAGTATAGCGGGCGAGTCCGACAACCGCTCCAGCATATGGCCAGAATGGCTGGACACAAGCTTTAGCCTTCACTCTGTAAGTTTTCCTCCCAACAGTTAGGCCAGTGTCCACCAAAAGAGCAACATCGGCTTCGGAATGTAGGAGCGCAGAGGTAAAAGCACCGTGGAGGCTTACATAGTGCACTCCGATATCGATCGCTTCGATTGCATGCATAACCCGGTCCTCCCACTCCTTTGGGTTACCATAATCGGAATCATACTTAAGTGTGATGACCCTGCGATTATCCAAACCAAACATAGGACTCCATACGACCGGGAAACCCATCTCTTCAAGCGGCTTAATCCATTTCTTTAATGAACGGGCCTGCTTGACTGATTCTGGCATAGAGGCATCAAGACGCAAATAGGCGTAATCAACAGGCTTTCCTCTGGTAGACGAACGAGAGACCGCAACCTTGATGAAATTGGCGTATCGTGTTTGCAGATCAGCCACTACTTTCCTAAGGTGGGCCTCGGCGGACTCCGGAGAAACGGCGGGAAGGTTGCGAACAAGTAATTCACAACATTGGAGAAGAGGGGTAGAAAGGGTCTGTTGGCTTTGAATCGGGCTTGGCTGGATAGCTACTGCATCTAATCCCGGCAAAACGAACTCATCGTTATCCTCGCTCATACCGATTGTTCGGAGCCGAACTCTGTTTTCAGGAGACAACGAGTAGAGCAGGTAGAGGAGGAGGTATGATGTGAAAGGGAAGCAAGAGAGTCTGAAAGGAGCGCGAAAAAGGTAGGTTAGGATGACCACAATCCAGAGAAAACTATAGCCAGCGGATTATGGATGGTGTGGAAGAGGATAAAACCTGAAACAGGTTGTGTGAGTATTAATCGCCCAGGTTAGTACGATTTAGCTAGCAATAATGGTGGAAGTAGAGGTGGTGGAGGTGGTGAAGTGGTGGTGAGTGAATACTTGCACATGATAAGTCATTTGATACCATGGAGCTGATGACGTGTTTAGCCCAGGGACAATGCGAGCTACCGGGGCCACAGGGACCTCCTCCCTTGCCCATTTTCGCAGTGGGGACCCAGACGAGGGAGACTGACAAGCGCCTCCTTCCACATATGGCTCTAGTAGTGTGAGACAATCAAACCGCTACGTGTATGGCTGACGGTCACGGGACTTCCACTGAATCCTGAAACAACGACTTGGTCCAGCAGGCAGAACACTAGTGGCCTTCGTTGGACAGGCAGAGGCCTATCCACCCTGCTGTCATTGCTATGGAACGGCCGGCCTTCATGACCCTTCATCTTCTCTTGGTGTTATTTCTAATTTTTCCATCCCTTGTGCGACCTTCTGCATTAACGACAACCGTAGCTCCAAACGAGAGGCTCTGCTTTTATGCTGACGTTGACAAGGCCGGCGAAAAGATAGCTGTGAGTTGGCGAGTTTTGATAGTCAGCTGGAAACATGCTAATGGGCTTTCAGTTCTACTTTGCGGTGTGTACCGTTCTGACCCCCACAAACCATTTGTAATTCTGACAACGTCTTGATACTATTTTATTTGGCACTTTTTTTATAGGTGCAAGCAGGCGGGACGTTCGACATTGACTGGGAAATCATCGACCCGAATGGCTGGTCTTTATTGTCTGGAGAGCGAGAGCATCAAGGGGATTTCATCCTAACTGCGAACCATGTTGGCGAATACACTTTCTGTTTCGAGAACGATATGTCAACAATCACCCACAAATTGGTTGATTTTGACATTATGGTGGAAAGTGAACCCCGACGGGAATCGCCTGCTCGTCCAGGGCAAATCTCCGAAAAAACCAGCGCCTTGGATGAAAGCATCTGGCGACTAAGGGGTTCGTTGACGTCAATAGAGCGCCAGCAACGCTAGTGGGTCTTGCGGCATTGGTTTGAGTGGACGACTGAGCTCATATCCTCTTACCAGCTTCCACACCCGTGAAACTCGTGGTTTCTCCGTAGTAAAATCGACACAAAAGTGAGTATGATGACTATTCGGTCATGATGGTCAGTTCACCTGGAACTTTGTAGTCGAATCTTTTGGTATGCAGTACTAGACTGCTGTGCAATCATCACAATGGCGGTGTGCGTACGGTTATCGTTAGAAGATCCAGTTTATACTGAAGCTTACACCCATCAGTATTCAGATATATGTCCTGCAAACATTCTTTACCACTACGGGGAAAAAGTACAAAGTGTAGTTTGCATATACAATCATATACCACACTGTTATCCCCGCCGTGTCAGCACAATCTGGTATATGGTGACAGTCATGGTCGTTCAAGATTTTCTTCAACGAATTGTCGTATCTCTTCCATGATTTCTTTTTTGACCTCTATTGGCACGCTTGCTGCATATTGGAATAAAGTTTGGTTTGGAAGCATGGGCTTTGAGTAACGAGGAGCACATACAAATGCTTTGGGGAGTTACGGCAGACTCCAAGGCCCGTATCTTGAGATTAGGAGAGCGCTTGTATTCCTCTGGTATTAATTGATTAGATGAGAGAAGTGTATTGTCCAGTTTGGCCGGGATACCAATTGCTCTATCTCTTGTTTCATCAGTCCAACCGCTTTCGTCCAGGAGGCGCTTCAACTTCCGGTTGATACGATCCCACTCCCCGCTCGTCTAAGTTACCTTAGTGAGACATATAGTCAAGGACTTCTAGAACTCCTCCGCGCATACCACCATACGGCGATGCAGAGGTCCCGCCAATTTGTCGACTTCTCCTTTGAGTCTTGGCGGAGGCATTGTTATTCACCAACGAAGCCCTCGGCGCCCCTTTTGGGAAGACGGAGATCACCGGCTCAATTGAGTGACTTTTCCCGGCGCTTGTCTGGGAGCTTGGAACGATGCTTAGTCGAGGAGCTTTGCTGGCTGCAATTGGCCCTATCGCCACACAGGTACCGGCATTCTGCTCTGCGGCAGTTCGGTGTGGCCTTTGTCTTCATTTATGATCCCATATCTCACTCATTTCAATAGATACGCATCATCTACCGTTTCTTCATCTCGCAGTCCTTACGCTCTCGATTCACGGGCTCCAACCGATCGACTAGCCACAGGTCGCCCAAAGCCGCGCGCTTTTGATCCTGCTGTACCACCACAAGCCCTTACACTTCCCCAGCAACATCCTAGAATCCATGGAATCCCAGTCGCTATTCTTCATATTCGTGCCTTTCATCATGAACTCCTTACCCTCTTCATACACTTTTCACTTCATGCGGCTTATGCTCTTGGGATGCCGGTCTCACGAGCCGTCTCGCTACCCACTCAACGGTCCCTCTATACTGTTCTTCGTGGGCCATTCGTCCATAAGAAGTCCCAAGAGAACTTCGAAAGAGTTGTTCACAAGCGAGCAATAAAAGTCTGGGATACGGATCCGGACGTACTATCCAAGTGGATCCGTTATCTTGAAATTAACATGATGCCAGGCATTGGTATTAGGGTTGTTAGGTGGGAGCGTGCAGAAGTTGGATTTGGTGCCAAGAAGCTACAGGGGATACGGGACGCGCAGTCGGAATTATTTAAATCGCGGGAAAAGTTTGATTTGGATACAAGCTCGGGTCGAGTCAAAGCGCTCGCAGACCAGATTATAAAGGCAGAAATGGCTTCCGCTGCCGCTGCTGAAGCCGAATCGGCATCATTTCAATCTGGACCTGCTTCATGGCTGGAGTTTCCGCCAAATGATAACTACCCTTCATCTTCAGAAGTAGAGTCACCCGCCACGCTATCAACCCAACAATCCTCGCCCCCAGACATACATTCTAATTCTGATTCACCGACCGCCACCCCTGAATCATCATTATCGCAAGAATCTGCAAGCTCATAAGCGCTACGTCAACTCTTCATTGCTCGTGACAGTGGTGGTGCACGACTTATTATCTAAACCTGTCTAGACGATGTCCTGAATGCAATACAAGTTCATCGGCCCTGATCAAAGTGGAAAACTTCCAAGACAGGCGCCTTGTCCCTGAGGCCAGGTAGAGGCTAAAGACCAGAACTACAACGAGTTGCAGTTTAATTCCGGCAGATGTGGGCAACTCAAGGCCCATAAATGTTTAGTGTTTACTCCGTGGCTAGGGCAGAAGTTCACATGCATTGACCAAATAGCGGAACAAGTGCTCCGATCGGCCATTGGCAATGGTGAGCAATTCGTGGCAGCCGTCTGCGTCGTGGCCATCAGATGGCGGTGGGTAGGAGGTGCATGATCATGGTTTGTCCACAGTGACGAGAAAGGATCTATATTATCATTGGCGAGGATGTGGGTCATCTTCGTGCCTGAATGTGATGGGACGCCCTGAAGACTTCGTGAGACGGGAAGGAAAGATGCTGACACTGTAGGATTAACTGAAGCTGCGAAACTTGGATCTGCCATCCTAGCCTCCAGCTGCTCGAAGCAAACCCCTTGGCGTGCAGTTCCTTATCTGGGCTTCTCGTAGAATGCGGAGACGGTGCTCGACTTCAAGCTGTTCTCTTTCTCTTCGGGTAGCCTCCCGTTTTTCACTCGTGCCGATTGAGTAATCACGAAACAAAGCTAGCATCCCGACAGTGTCTTTGGATGGTTGATACCGGGTCTACACCAGCTCGTGGCTAGACGGCAAACTTCCATTGGAGGTCGGGCCGCATGAAGTTGCTAGCAAGCCCTGGAGGAATTTTCTGAAGAAGCAAAGTCTGCAATGGAGGGAAGTTGGTAAGGGGTGATACAGAGGAGTCAGAAGACGCCTCGTCCAATTCGAAGATTCCTGAGGAACCCAGTTGTGTGGATCGTGATAGCAGGTCATCATTGTGACTTGAGCACAAACTACTTGAGTCGCAGCTAGTTGCAGACTGGGCAGAGTAGGCCGGATCATCGAACACAAGAGTCGAGTGTCCTTGACATATAACTCAGGAGTGCATCACACCAACTCTCAACCGTAACCGAGGGCTGACTAGAGGAGATTTGGGCACAGATCGCGGATCGTGGCAAAAACATTTCAGGGAACGAGGACCAGTAAACCAGGCAAGTCAAATGCGTGCTCCGACAATGAATCATATTCATAGAGATATGAAACGGTCGTTGCAAAAATTAGGCGTGCACATCTGAAGGGTCAGCAGCTCCCGTCAGAGCCAATAGCTACCGTAGTGCGTGAGGTGGAGCACATTAATTCGGTGAGTACAAGATTACATCCACTAGCTAACACGCCGATCAGGCCATTATATAGGCTTGATCTTGAAATGCATTGTGATCAAGGAGAAAATGAGGCACTGCGCGAAGGGGGGCGATAATGAGCATATCCTCTTGGATTCCAGTAGTTAATAACAGAGTGACGGGGCTAACCTTGAGGTCTTGAACTAGATAATAAAAGACGCGAAGGCCTTCTGGGTCTTCACTGTCCTGTACGTCAACAAGTGACCCAATTTTAGCGGTCTGTAATGGAATCCCATATTGAGATCGGTGCATGTTAGGAGATGTTAGTAATCGTGTACCTCAAAAGCAATGTGGTCATTCCCAATTCTTATTTCCATCTCTTGCTTCCCTACAATGTTCTTTTTGGGCCAATTTGTGTCATCTTCCCTGTTACCATGCCAGGTGTGGGTGGATCATATGGCAGAGCAGAATGGTGGACACGTACTTCGTGATTTCGCTTGAGTCTACGATCCGCTTCAACTCTTTTATCACTAGCGGCGAAATGTACACTGGAGAAAAGAGTGCGATGGAATATATCCAGACGATTGGAGTACCGTAAGCAAAGGAAAATCAACGTCAAGTGGGGACCATGCTTACTCTCTTTTCGGATAAGACTGTCGTTACGGTAGTTGGAGTTGTTGGCGTATCGTAATCGGCCATTGTCATACTCGAATTCGAGGAACTCGTGTCCGTGCTTGCCTGAATGCCCGGTGCTGAACATGCCCGAAATGAATCAAGCACGGCGATAATGAAAATCCATCGTCAAATTGATGAGTGTTATCGGCATGGACATTAACATCGGGTAAGTCAGACCATATAACATCGGGAGAGGCTGGTCACCACTGACTAATATCTACGCATATAGGAATACGATTAGCCTCGCTCTGTGCGCACCATATCTCTACGGTTTACCTTAGGTAAAAAGGCTCGTTGTCCAAGGACATGCTTGGCGCTTCGGTGATGGAAAACGGTTACTGATTTACGCAATCACGTGCTCCCCTCTGGCGCCCGACTTATCTGAATGGGCTCAACGCTGAATTATCAAGTTGGCGAGAAAGTCCTCTGCTATCATGGCCCTGTGATATACGAGGCCAAGGTCCTGAAGGCGGAGATTTGGGATGCCGCTAACATTAAAACTGGTACTGCGGGCCCACACTATTTTGTGCACTACAAGGGGTGGAAGCAAACGTGCGTATTTATTTTGGTTGGATTTATTCCGTTGTTCATACGCTTTGGGATTAGATGGGACGAGTGGGTTGTCCAGGACAGGCTGCTGAAATATAACGACGAGAGTTTGGCAATGCAGAAGACTATCAATTCACAAGCGCTGAATAAAAATGACGGGAAAACTCGGACATCCGCTGCCGCTGGTGGTTCTTCAAAGACCGGAAGTGGTGGAAGGAGGGACTCACGAGCGGTTGCGGACACAGCGAGGTCGAAGCGAAAAAGAGAAGAGGTGATTGTGCGAGATGTTTGGTTTACCAAGGGAACGAAAGGATTGACCCATTCCGTCTCCACAACTCTAGGACAGTTCCCAGAAATACGAACTTAAGCTGACGATACCTGAAACGATTAAAGTGATATTGGTAAATGATTGGGAGTTTGTGACCAAGAATAACCAGGTATCTTCCCATCCTGACGTGAAGGAACGCCACACGAACACCTCCTTTATCCGTAGCTCGTTACCCTGCCACGAAAACCTTGCGTACGGGATCTCCTGGAGGAGTTCAAGCAGTATGCTACGTCGCAGATGCATCCCAGGCAAGCTCCCATTCGTCTTAAAGGCAGTTCCTCGCGCCTCATTCATCTACAGTAGCAAAATTGATCTTCTGCCAACATTGTTGGCAGGACTCCAGACTTACTTCGACCGATCCCTCGGGAGCATGCTCTTATATCGCTACGAGCGACCCCAGTATGCACAAACGCGTAAGCAGTATATAACAGGTCAGCATGTCAACCCAGGGGAAGAAAAAGAAATGAGTCAAGTCTACGGTGCGGAGCATTTGTGTCGGCTCTTTGGTGAGTTGCGGTATCCACAAGCGATTTGTTCGGCTGATCTGTCTGCAGTCAAGTTACCTGACATGGTGGCACACACCTCGATGGATGAAGTATCTATCAATATCCTACGAGATTTCGTAAACGACTTCATGAAGTACGTGAATTCCATGGCGACAACAGAATAATATTCTGACGAGTTTGCCGTGGCAGATGGCTTGTAACGCAACATGACAGGGTGTTCTTGAAGACATATAATTATCCAGGGCCACATTACCACAATGTTGCCAGAACTTGATGAATTCCGGGATATTTGTAGAACTGCATTTCTGGCCTCACGATTTATCATACACTCTCATGTATTTGTGTCCTGTTTTAAAGATGCCATACTATCTTGATAAATTATGCTTCAATCACATATGAAACAGGTGCGTTTCTGAGCCAATCGATAGTGACGTCCTCCAGATGATCATCGAAATCACCAAATTGTCGATGAACTCCCTCGTGGATGTACTTGAAGGCAAGGGAAGGCGAGGATGTGTTTTGTAGCTTGAAAGGCGAAGAAGCGCTAGTCAACGGTGACTGAGGTTTCCATGACGAAGCTGACGAATTGAAGACGTGCGGCTGCAGAGCAAGTGTAAGGCTCATTTCAGGTGAATCATGATAACACACACAATCAGAGCTGGGTTGCTCCCATCCAACGACGTGCCATCGATCTACATACAAATGCATCAGGATTCCAGTGGTTCCAGCAAGTCAAGACATACAACGAGAGCAAACGCGTCGGGGAATGCTGTCTTTATGGAGGAGGCGACCTTTTCGCCAACAGGCACAAGGACCTTATCGTTCGGTCGATTCGTTGCTTGATAATAGCCTACAAGCTGAAGCTGACGTTCCTCCGCGCTTGATCGAGCCTACTGATATGCGTGTCGTGTTTTGAGCACTTAGTGTTGAGTTGACACAGGATGAATAATCAAAATCCATGCCACATACAAGGTCAAGACCTATTTCCATCATAGGGCTCAAACTTGTCCAGTGGTGCAGCAATGGAATAGTGTCGATGACGGAGACTTCATTGCCTGACTTTGATCCCAGTAAGACGCCATTCACAGTCGCGTGCGGGTACTTCGCAGCGTGTAGTATGAGCTTGATGTAAGCGGTGTTACTGATAGAGTACATTATTGTCATTTTCAGAACAAGATTGACAGGTCACGTTTTTGGCGATCACACGTGGGATCATGGAGAGCTCAACCGCGCTCCTGACGGACTGTATGATTTGTGCCTGGTAGTACATACGTTCCATGCCCTACAGTTCAGTTTTGCGCTCAAACGCTCAAGATAGGGAGGTCTGCTCGCTTATGAAGCTTGCCTGCAGCATGCTCGCCCGATGGCTAGATCGTTCTAGAAGATGGAGGTTCAATCCAGTGTGAACGGTTTCAACGTGGTGCCAGACTTGCACGTTTTGGCTGTCTGGGTTTAAAACGTCTCCAGATACTAGCCGTTACTCATTTGTTCGGATCGGAAACATTGTGATCCAGACAATACCCACTGTTTCCACGGAACTATCATACATTCGTTGTTCACCTCGTGGCCATTGTCTCGCTTCACAGATAACTGTATCCGCATCTGGCATACTCAAGATCCATATCATGGTGTCGTCAAACTGCCACCACCCAGCGGCGGTCACCCAGTCATCGTGTCCACGCCGACATATATAGCAATTCGGGCTCATCCAGTTATTTGGGAAGGGCACACTAGAGCATTACATGCGTGAAATTCTTGCCTTATGGAAGCGGCTGGTTCCAGTCTGTCCTGACAATTAATGTCCATGTTTGGGATACCTCACTCTGGACGAGCATCTACAACGCCGATCCGTGGGGGTTTCCCCTCTGTTGACTTAAATGACGGCAGGTTTATCCGCATTGAAGATACGAGTGGAGACGTCGAAATACGCGACGTACTCTCAAGAGAGGAATTTCGAGGCCCCGCCATGGATCTCAACTGATGTCACTGTTTAACCACCACCACGAATGCCAGTTTTCTTAAGCCAAGATAGTTGGAGTCTGTGTACCGTGAAAGGAGATAGGAACCACTCACCTTTGTTGGCAACCCGATTGGTTCCCAACCGATATTGCGCAGTATCGTGGACATGCTGGCTTCGAAGTGCCGGACACCTGTTCTAATCCCAATTGTGATACGGTAACTAGTAGAGCTGTCCTGATGTGCTTACATATTGCGAACCAGAAGCTGACTACGGTCTATGAAGTTATCTCCATATTTGCGAGCGGGTGAAACGATCCCCACTCCATCTCATTCGAGACTCAAGCACCTCATCGTTTTAACCTCCCTCCCTTTATCATTGCACCTTGGATACATTATGGGCCGAGCCTCACTATGGGGATTACTTATATAACCCTAATCACTTTGTGTCTCCCAGATTCCTCACTCCATGAATCCCCCTGAGTCACTTGGCATTCATTGTATTTTAAACTCCGTCAAGTGCCCCCGTTAAATGTACGACTGTAACACAGCGACATTACAATATCAGAGGAGCCTATTCATAACACACGAGCTATGCAGTTTTATATCTTTACCGAATAGATGTGTCAGTTATATTTAAACTGTCGCTGTCGACCTTTGATTTCACTGTGCTATTGGCCTTCGCCTCGTCGTCCTCCCGAGCCCTAGTCTCTGCAATCCACCAAGCCTCTTTCCAGGTGAAGTTGCCACCTCACGTTCAAGCGATTCAAGCATCCGTCCCTCTATTTGCACATTCGTTCCAGTTCCATCCGTTTGGGCGTCCCGTCTCCTAACTGATGCAGGAGTCCCAGCTGGAGGATCAGCACCGCCAGGCGCCTTGACGCCGCATCGATTAGCCAAGCTATCTGTGTCGGCGAGGACTGAAACGGGTGGGACAACCTGAACATTGTTAGGGAGCACGGAGCATGTCTTGAGCGAAGGAGGCGAGAGGGTCGAAGGGAAAGGCCCTGAAAACTGGTTCGAGGAGATGATGAAGGTTGTCAGATGTGAGAGAGCCGAGATGTTGCTGGGGAACGGGCCTGGTTTGAGCGTCAAAACGTTCAATTTGTTTTGTGATTGCCATCGAATTTCCAAATAGGTTGTTTAGGGCTAAAATGGCTGACGAGAGTAGAGCAAACTTGCCTGTCAGTTGATTATAACGGACATCAAGGCGATAGAGTTCTTGCAATCGGGAAAGATCAAACAGAGGTCCGGTGCTACGAAAAGACGACATGAGCTAGACCAATGTCAGAGTACCACATCTTTGACTTACAAGTAATTCCCTGCGACGTTGAAGATCTGCAGTCCCGTTGCAGAGCTCAAATCTGGCAAAGATCCCACCATTTGATTATCGTTAGCCGTCAATCTAACCAGTGACGCAGTGCTCTCGATGGTCAATCCGTCAAAATGATTATTATCCAGCAATAGATTCACGAGTTTGGGTGCAGAGAAATCGGCCGTTCCAGTGAGCTGATTATTTGAGAGGTGGAGTGTGCTGAGTACGGAATGAGAGGAAAGCGAACTAGGAATCGAACCGGTGAGGGAGGTATTGGAAAGATCGAGGTTTTTTAGCGAGCGGAGGGCATCGAACGTAGGCGGAAGTGAGCCACCAAGTGCATTCGAAGAGAGATTTCTGCAACGTGAGCGATGAGACAATATATGTCAGTATGCAACTAGCACCAGATTATGGATAAGGACTCTATGCCTAGAGTCCTCTGATAGAGCCCAGAGAGATAGGCGAGACGGAGATAGCATAGAAGGTGGGGCGAACGAGAGAGGATCGATACTCACAATCGCTCGAGCTCAGCAAGGGAAAACACAGACGACGAGAGTGGTCCAGAGAGCCCGTTCCTGCCAAGATCTAGCGATACCACCGCCGGCCCTTTACAAGTAACTCCATACCAAGCGCAGCAGTCATCTGCGCCGTTGGAACCAATGCCAGGGACCGGGGAAGACGTGTCGGCGATGGGAACAGAACTAGATGAAGCACCTGTGGCCCATCCGTAGTTCACAATCCAATTCGGGCCATTCATGTCGAAGTAGATTTTAGAAAGGACCGAACATGTGTGTTTGCGCATTTCCGGGGTTGACAGCTGGGAAGGTAATTCCGGCTTTGGACGAACTGGAGGGTCGGGCACAGCAGAACCAAAGCTGGGTAGAGCAGGCATGGAAGCTGGAACAGGCGGGTGTTGAGGCAGATGCATTTGCAATGATGTAGGGGTGGGAAGGGTTGCAGCAGAAACCTTGGAAGTTGGATGAATCGCCTCCGATGGCGGGTAAGGAGCTTGATCCGAAACCTCTGCACCAGAGCCAGATGCATCATCAATGTTTGCCTCATGTGCTCTATTCTTTCGTGGAAAATGGGAATGATCGTGTGGCCGATACTTTGGTAAAATTTGGTTCAGGGGCACCTTGTTTCCATGATTGACTCCTGCGCCGCCAGCGGCATTGTGAAGGTGTCGACGAAGGAACGCCTTGTGATAGCGTGTGCTAGGGGAACTGTTGTCATGGTAGGAACCCGAACGTGAAGAAGCTTGAAACTGGCTCTCGAAGACTGCAAGAGCGAGACTAGGAACGTAAGCCAGTGCCAGCTGGCAAACCAGGCAAGAACGCAAAAAGAGCATAGCAAACCCGTGAGCTGTGAAAGCCAGAAAAACCGTCCGACGAAGGGGGTCACTTCCTTTTAGCGGCCGCATGACTGAGACAGGCGTTGCTGAGAGATAGCGCGATGTTTAAGACTCATTCCACGCAAAGCATAGTGTGAAACCTGTATCCGCACAACGTACAACGCGTTGTCACTTGTCCCGAAATGAAACAGCAAGGAATAAAGATACATGAGACTAGACGGAACTGGAATCTGTAGCAGTGCATCCAAAACTGAATGAGTGACAATGGCGGGCCAAATGATGGGCATTTGGAACTCAGGTTGAGGCACATCGATCGAGAAGCGGTTTTACGACTCCTATAAACGACACCAGAGAATAGCACATTGGCAATATATAATGTTCGTGTGGGGGTGGGCAAGCTTCGCTTGCCCACGGGACTGCTTATGTAAGCTAGACTGGCCGCAGAGCAGCCTGTGGAAGTATAGTTTTATAACTCATCACAAATGTCTCATGCAACAAAAAGTTGAATCAAAAGTTACTTGGAATTGTAAAAGCTGATAATTGGACTGAGGAATTGTAAAAAAAATGAGTTCTCATGGCTCTACAACCGTTCTCGACAACCAGCGCGTTTTATAAAATCCAACAGTCCGAATTATAGAAAAAGACCCTCTACACATCCAGGAGAATTTCTACATGCTTAGCTGCTGTGTGACGAGCCTGAAATTGTTGGGTGATCATTTGTTTATTCGTGTGTACGTCGTCGCACTCAATAGCGCATTCTGGAGATGCCTGGGGCACACTCAGCTCAATTGATGCTCTTCTGACTTTGGAACAACTTCCTACCATGCTCCTTATACCCTTTTACATTTTCAGCGATTGGTATTAGTATTGCGGAAAATTTGTTGCATACAAAACAATCAAAATCAACTGCCCATTTAATTCATTGGCGATGTATAGCTGTAACAACACTGAGGGCTTCATAAGGGCAAATTTCAGTGAAGCCCATCATCCATTCCTCAGGAAGGAAGCTCGGCATTGAGAACACACAGAATCTTGAGAGGAAACTATGGACAAAGTTGAGGCAGCAAAAGCCGCTGCCAGCTGTGAAGCCCAGAAGGCACGAGATGAGAAGAAGAGAGTGGAGGAGGAGAAACTAGAGTGTACTATACTCCAGTTGGGTGCTACAGTGATTGCTGCAATGACGGGGGAAAAGCTAATTGAACAGATCAACAAGCTTGTTGGCTGGCCCCTAAGGACACCTTTATTCCTAATTGAACAGCAGTCAATAAGGTACGAGTTGGGCCCCGGAAGGCACTACTCCAAGATATTGTAAAACGCTATAATGCACGATCTGTAGAGTCGCCAGGATCTGCTATCTGAGGTACCATAACTGGTCTGTTTACATGCTCATTTTATAATGCGTGGATTTTTCTGATTGAGCGCTCAGTACATACTTTACATTGTATATTCACACTCTCTAGGTTTTTGTTGGGACTTGGAATACAGTTTCACGAGTTATCGATGGAACATTTGTGAGGCCATGTTTTGCCCAAATCTGATTACATAAGCGGTACACGGACACAACCTGAGTTGCCCAGTCCCAGTTCGTGCACTCTGGAAAATGCTGTCACATGCCTATACCGCACGTGACACCATCTCGAAAAGAGAGGGAAAACGTCTAGTGAGATCGAAAAACAACAATACCACCCCCCATTCCCCCCAAACCGCTTCCCCTTCCCACGCACGATCTCCTAACCATGGATGATCGAGAAAAGTTTGACACAGGAGGGAAAGCAAGGCTCCAAAAGCCAGCTAACCCTGCTAACTTGAGACAGTCTAGCACGAAGCGAGATATGTACAACACGAACTCGAGCACGCCGCTCCAGCCGCACCAATTGCCACGTCGTGGTACCAAAACTACAGCAAGAGGACAAACAGGCTCAGCCAACAGTAGCCCCTGGGACGAAGCGGCAGCGACTAGTACCCCAGAAATGCAACTACTCTGTGACAAATTCGCTGAACACCCTTATCCGATTGCGCCAGTCTCCGATCAACTGGATGTTACCAGCATCCCGATGTCATGGCCCAGCACCCCAGACATGGAACGACACGCTGTACCAATGGAAGACAGCACACACACCACAGATCCTCAACACTCCTCAGAAGCCGAACACCAAGAACGGTCCGACTCGGAGAACGAAGAGATGTGGATGGAAGACCCGACCCCCAAGGATGAGGAACACGACAGGAACTGGAAGCTTTTGGAAGAAGCGTCCACGAGTATGAACAAGGTTACGGAGAGACTATTACTTGTCGGCCTTGCAGGCCTGTGGGAACAACTCCTCCCGACATACTCCCATTGGTTCGCAGGACTGCCCAAAGCCACATACAAAAGCCATGGTGAGAAGATGGTGGGAAAAGACCTAGAAAGCTGTCTGGCGGAGGCAGAAGCTAATGTCTCCAACCTCGCTTCAACTAACGCTTACCTATCCAATCGCTTGAAATCCTTAGAATCCAAGGTGTCCACGGCCCAAACCCAACCTCTGCCAGAGAGGGACCCGGATACCGTAGTGAAACCAATGGTGGCCCCGACCGAGTCTTGGGCAAGCGTAGCAGCAAAGAATCCACCGAAACCGCAACCCAGACAGGCAACAGCAAAGAAACAGACAGTGAAACCGCCAGACCAAGCCCACGAAACAGCCACACAGGGAACGGAACACAAACAGATGGCAGACCCCCACTGCCTAATCATCCGCATCAACCCTCCCCTGAAACCAGACCAACGCCCAAATGGCATCAAGATCCGTAAGAAGATCAATGACATGCTAGAGAAAAAGAATCTCCCGCACTACCTCAGGGTGATGGCAGTGGGATACTCGGTAGCAGGGAACATTAAGGTTACGATGGCCCCAACCTGCAAGGTGTCCGACCTACAGGACTACGGGAACGACATTGCGGCCACCATCACAGACAACGAGGTTCTCTCAACCCTACCAGACATGGAACACTACCGCGTGAAAATCAATAAAATACCCACCCACTGCGGCAATGACCCACTCCCGATCAACATGATCCATGAAGAGCTAATGACGTATTGCCCACCTTATGGGGAACTGAAGCAGTGGTGCCCACCCAAATGGCTGGGCTCAGATGCCACCATTTACGCTAAGAATTTTGCATCCATTGTACTGGACTTGACTAACAAAAAAGACAGAGATACACTCTTCCAACTCAGGACAGTGTACTTATTTAACTACAGATGCACCATTACACCGTATGAAGATCGTGCTCAAGTCTTCGCATGCAGCAAATGCGGCATGTACTCCCACCGCACGGCCAACTGCGCACAGCCACGGTGCTTAAAGTGCGGGGCAAAGGACCACAACACTGATGACCACCAAGCAGATGTGCAACCTCGCTGCATAAATTGCAAAGAGGCACATGTAAGCACCTTCAAAGAATGTAAGATCAGGAGAAACAAAATGGGCCTCAAACCCATCCCGAAGAAGACTGCGCAGCCACCTAGCAACCCCCAGCCACAAACTGCACAGCCGAAGGCTGGCAACAAAAAGAGAAACAAAGGCAAAGGGAAGGAAGAGGCAACCAATCAATCAGAGGTAGCAAGCGTAGACATTGGCCTATCGGGCGACGATGTAAGCCGCATCCTAGAACAGAACCGGTCTCCGGAAGCCCAAAGGGCATCCACTGCTAAGCTTGTCCACACATGGTCAAAGACAAAAATTGTCAAACAGACCAATCAACCCAACCTGTCAACCGTGGAAAGCGGGGAAAAAATGGACATTGAAATGACAAGCCCTCACCTCACCTCCCCCCAATGAAGTGCACACCCAAAATAGCAGCCCAACTCTCAATATGCAGCTTGAATGTGAATCGGTCCAATGCGGCGACACAAGCGGCAATGCATATCATTTCCAAACGAAAGAACCCAAAGCCAGACATATTACTCATACAAGAACCATGGTGGGAGAAGATCAACAGCACATATGCATCAGCCACCCTAAAGGGGTGGCAAGCAATCCTCCCCAAACTACCTATCGCTGAAGGCGAACGACCAAGATGCATGGCCTACACCCGCCAGAATGCACAAATAGAGCTGACACTAAGGAACGACTTAGCATCAGATCTAGACTTCATGATCTTGGAAGTCAAAAGAGAAGGAGCGGTACACGCGCCGATCAGACTAATTAATATCTATAATCAGAAAACCCTCACCGACCCCCAAAGCAGGGAATACACAGCGGACAGACTGGTTAACACCAGGCTGGATGTGGATGTCCCAACGGTCATAACAGGCGACTGGAACATGTGACATCCAACCTGGGATGATCAGGTCGAAGCCCCGTGCAACCGCACAACAGAGACCCTAGAATGGCTCGAAGGGAAAACATTTTCCATCTGTAACGAACCCTTCATCCCAACCCGGGAGGACAACATGGGACACTCATCAGTTATTGACTTAACCTTTGCCAATGCAGCAGCACTCGGAGCAGGCGTCCTAATGGGACACCACGTAGATATGGAAATCGGCAGTCTGTCGGACCACCATGCCCTCTCCTTCCAGCTAGGCTCCCCCAGGGAAGAAGTAGACAACCTGTGTGAGGAAAAACTCAACTGGAAACATGCGTCGGAGGACAAATTTACAGAGGCCCTGAAAGTGACCATTGAAAACAACAAACCGGCCCACGACAATTTGGTGTACGAACTCCTCAATGAATGCCGCATTACAGCTACTTCAGAAGAACTCGACAAAGCAACAGAAACCTTGCACAGGTACCTAGAAAAGCAGCAAACGACTCAGTTCCAGTGAGACGGCCAAGTAAAGCAGCGAAACCATGGTGGACGGAAGACCTTTCAAAAGCATATCAGGAACTCCGTGAAGCCAAGGAAATGCTGAAAGACTGGACCAGAGATTTGCACCGACCCTCAACATTCCTGGCAGGCCGCGTAAAAGACCTCAAGAGGGAGGTCCTCATGTGCATCAGAAAGGCCAAACGGGAATACTTCCGCAACATCACGGAAAAGGCAAACCCACACAACCTCTGGGACATAAGGAAGTGGACCAAATGCCACAGGACTTATATATCGCCACCTATAAAGCGCAGTGACAACCTAGAGCCAGCCATTAGCCATATAGACAAGTGCCAAACCTTACGGGAGAACCCCCTCCCAGAACTCCCGAGACTCGCCAACTCTCCGCCAATTTCTCTAGACCCATGCAACGATGACATAGAATATGTCAGCGTGACGAAACGTGAAGTCCGAGATGCCATTTTCACAGCCGCTCAACTGAATGCCCCAGGGATCTCCGGACTTACGGGGCGTGCTTGGCAGTGGGCATGGAAGACCCTTGGGGACGAGATATTCCACCTCCTCAGGCTATGTGCAGACTCAGGCTACCACCCGAAATTATGGCGCACATCCATCGCAGTGGCCTTGCAGAAACCAAACAGGGACTACTCCCTCCCCAGATCATATCGATTGATTCAACTACTAGAAGTCTCGGGGAAAGCTCTTGAACGGATCCAAGCCCGTAGGCTAGCTTACTTGGCAGCAAGACACCGCCTATTCCCCAGCACGCAGTATGGTGGAATTCCTGGCAAGTCAGCCCAAGATGCCCTCCTTACCATCGTGCACGACATCGAGGCAGCATGGAACCACAAGAGGGTAGTCTCCATGCTCACCTTTGACATCACCGGCTTTTTCGACAATATCTCCCACTCTCACCTAATTAGCATGCTAAGAGCCTACCACATCCCGCTCCCCACAGTAAAATGGGTCCTCAGTTTCCTCAAGGACAGAGAAGCGGCAATCTGCCTAGATGGAAAACGAGATCAACTAAGGCCCATTTTCACTGGCGTCCCACAAGGCTCATGTGTCTCTCCTATTCTGGCAGCATACTTCACGTCCCCGCTGGCAAAAGCCGTGGAAGGAGTCCAAACCAGGATTGCACAGAACACAGAGCTAAGCACGAAATTTAACAATGGCCTAATTTCCCCCATGCCCCTCACTCTCTATGTAGACGATGGATCCATATCAGCATCAGCGCCATCCAGAGAAGAATCCACTGAAGTCATTAAGGCCGCTTTCCAGATAGTCCACGAGTGGCTCAGGGAAAGAGGCCTGAAGACCGATCCAGTTAAAAACGAACTCATGCACTTCACCCAAACCAGAACAGGCAGAAATGCCGGGCCTGGCCCATCCATCACCATCCCCTCACACATAAACGACGCCGATAAAACAGTCAACCCATCCAGCCTGATGAGATATCTAGGCATATGGTTCGACCCGCAACTCAAGTTCACGGAGCACATCAAGAGGATCACCTCCAAAGCGGCATCCGCGGCCCAAGCCCTTCGTATGCTGGGCAACTCAGAGAGAGGTCTCCACCAGACCCATGTCCGGCGCCTCTACCTGGGAGCGATACTGCCTATCGCACTTTACGGTCTACCAATATATTGGCGCAAAAAATCTAAAATGATCATTAAACATCTTTCTATACTACAGAACAAATGCTTGCGCATGATTACAGGAACATTTCGTACAACCAACACACAGGCAATGGAAATCGAAGCATCGATCCCACCTATCGACTTACTCCTCGAATACCGACTAAAGATGGAGGCAACACACCTGGCCCGACTCCCAGATGACCACCCAGTCACCAACCGCCTCTACCCGTGGCAGAGAAGATTAACAACACCATTCACCGTACCACCACTACTGGTATTCAACCCCCACAGAAGATATCGAATAGACCCAAGGGACACCTTTTCAACATGCATCACTCGCATTGCGGACCATATAATCCACGGCACAGAGAGGATCCGCCCACACAGCGAAGCCCCATGGCATATCTCGGAATTCGATATCGAAGACCATATCCAGATTTACCTACCAGAGAACGTCGCAGGCGAATCCGCCAAAGAGACATGGACAGACGACCACCTGGAATTCATGACGGAACACGAGGACAACCCAGATTTCCTCTTCGTGTACTCCGACGGATCCAAGTTCACAGAAGAAGGGCAGAGATACACGGGATTTGGAGTAGTGGGCTACTCAGCAGGAGAAACAGTATTCGAGAGGAATGGTTCTATGGGCGGCTATGTAGAAGCCTTCGACACAGAAATGATGGCGCTGAGGACAGCAGCGGAAGAGACACGTCGCTTCATCGAAAACGACCTGAACACCCACAAGCCGTCAAACATAGTATTTTACTCAGACAACACGAGCGCGATTGGCCGCATCTTCCAAGGGAAACCCAGAAAAGCCCAAGAGCACACCCGGACCTTTAGGAAGACAGTGTGCAGGCTCTTGGATGACAGAGACGACCTCAAGGTCGCGATAAGCTGGTGCCCCGGCCACAGTGGTATCAAGGGCAACGAACGTGCAGACGAGCTGGCCAAAGAGGGAGCTCACCTCAGCCCGGACAGACCCCGCTACCACTCATTATCCTTTGTAGAAAGCTTGCATAAACAGGAGATGGAAGAAGATTGGAAGGAACGCTGGGCAAGCACGCCCACCCCGATCCGATCAGGATTCCACACAGCAAACCAGATCCCCCCATTGATCAAACCCACCACCAGGTTCAAATCGCTGGACCGAAAAACCTTCAGCAGGCTGGTCCAGTTCCGCACCGGCCATGCACACCTGGGCAAATACTACCACCGGTTCGGTATTCACACAGAGAGTAGAGAGTGCACATGTGGAGCAGCTAACCAGACGAGAGAGCACATCCTTCAGGTATGCCCACAGTTTAAGAAACATAGACACGTACTGGGCCGGGGCCGTCAGAACAGGTTTTCGACCCTCATGGGGAAGCCCAAAGGCATTCTTAGACTAGCAGACTTCATCAAGAAGTCGCGGGCCATCGACAAAAAGAATGGACAGAGAATGACTCCGAATGGGGGAACAGGAAACAGGAGTACCCAACCAGTAACCCCCCATAGGGAGAGAGGAGTGACATAGACATCACTACACCCCCACGCATACCCAGATAAGACTTAAACCCAGACATCACAACCCAGAGGACCCCGTCACCCCGACCACACCAACCAGACAACCCTACCTTGTATTGACGAGCCCCTCATGTACATTCAGATGTAATTATTAGTTGGGCTAGCCGCACTGCCACGTACAAACGTGGCCATGGGGTAACAAAATAGAGTACAACAACAACAATGCGCCTATACCGTTTTCTAGTGGCCATGGCAGTCTCTAACCTCACCTATTTCTCCGAAGTTATTCCCACCAATTTACCGCCTCCCGAGCAAATCGTTGTGTTTTGCAAGGAGCTGGGTACAACAGGTGTGGAATCACCTTCACCGACCCGTCTTCTGGGGTCGTCTTGGCCTGGTTCAAGTATGGCCCGAACGTTACCCTGGATGAGGCATCCCCTCAGGCCTGGGTCGCGAAACACCTGAACGCCAAGCGAGAAAAGCTAGACCTCGAAGCTCCCGAATGAATGGATATCACATGATAGAAATCCATCTTGTACACAAAGCTTGGGCATGGCTCCACCCGGTTCTTGCTCTTGTTGAAATCACGAGTCACCGGAACCTTCCGGGGCATTCTGGATTGTTGTGGGAAATCGCTAGATAATTCCAGTTTAGTCTGTGCTTGCGTACGCGCGCTTGTGCAGTAGTTTATTTTACGTATATCATCGTTGTAATACATTTCGTGTATACGCACGAACGTGCATTGAGCAAAATCATCAGTAAATTCTCTCTGGTCTCGCGAGTATAACCGCTGAAGTAAGTGGATTGCCTTATACGGAATCCCTACATTTCAATACTTGTTGCCTTCCCTCATCTTCTCATTGGTTCACACTCGAGTTACTCCTGCTGTTTACGTGTTCTGCTGTCCAGAACTCCTCTGAGAACGTTGTGTAAACTCCAGGCTGTTCGTGAGAGCGCCAAGGCCGATCAGAGTATATAAATACACGGGGGAAATCCAACCGAACTGAGTCGATTATCATACTCCGCTGACGCATGCCCCGTATTTCTTATGACAATGAGATTGTCATAACTCCGCTGGCAGACTCCATTGTCCTAGGGACGGAAAAAATTCAGCCTTCGAACCAATAATCATCCGCCACACCACCTTTTATCAGTTCATTGGTGTATGGGTGTCATGCAGGAAGAGGAAAGAGACACAACGACCTTGTTCCATTAGCTCCTGTTGTTATAACACATTTCGATCGGGTTATTCATTAATATCGATTGCGCTGTTGAATTATCGTGTCGCTTCTGAGCTCACGATCGCTCGTAGCCACAAGTTGCAACTGTAAACATTGAGTTCAGGAACCCGCAGCCTAGCAAAGTCCCCAAAATTTTTAGGCAGTCTTGTATGCATCACTACACATTTACAGTCGATGCATCAAAACAGAACCAAGTCCGATCACAATCGCTCAATCGACGGCACCAGGAACATAATCGGGAATAAGACCCATATCTGAAATCTGTCTCAGTGACAGCCATCATGTTCATGCCCACATCTTCCTGCATGTCTGTCGTCTCGATAGAGTTGGAACAGCCACCTGGCTGCTTTGATAAATTGGACAGAGGTAAACAATCGCTGGTCCCTGGTGGGTCAGAGGAAATCGCGAAGAGAGTGAGGGACGCCCTTGGGTGGAGGGTATGTTTCATCATAGATTTTGCATGAGAGTGCGTATGTCTGCTAACTCATGACCCCTTCCAAGACCTTCCAATGGAGCAGCCATACAGGCATATAACCCTCGAAGATAATTTGCATAGATGTCAGGGTATTCAGAACGAAGCTGATGAGAGCATAATCTCGCCTCTTCCTCGATATCAAATGCTTCTGCATAGTGCCCCAGGCGTGAAAGTATCCTGGATAGATCCCGCAATGCCCAGGCTAAATCAGCGGCATATGAGGTCGGAAGAGTAATGTGGAGAGGACACCAAAGAGAAATGGATTCTTTGATGAAAGGAACTGCTTCGGTGGGGCAATTGAGGTAATCGAATGAGAGAGCAAGATTGTGGAGTGATCAAGCCAAACCAGAGTTGTATGATGTGGGATGAGCAGCAACGAGCTCGCGCCAGAGGTTGACACTTCTTTTGATCACCGGGAGTGCTTCGGAATAATGTCCCAAATTGTCCAATGCCATCTTAAGACTGTTGAGCGATTGAGCCAAATTTGGGGTGTATGATGTCGGATGAACAGCAACGAGCTCGTGCCAGAGCTTCACGCTTTCTTCGATCACGGGGAGCGCCTCGGAATAACGTCCCAGATGGTCCAATGATATCTTAAGACTGGTGAGTGATTGAGCCAAATCTGGGGTGTATGATGTGGGATGAATGGTGACGAGCTCATGCCAGAGCTTCACACTTTCCTCGATCACTAGGAGTGCCTTGGAATGGTGTCCCAGATTTTCCAATGATATGGAAAGACTGTGGAGGGATCGAGCCAAATCTGGGGTGTATGACGTCGGATGAATAGCAACGAGTTCATACCAGAGCTTGACACTTTCTTCAATCACCGGGAGCACATCGGAATAACGTCCCAAATTTCCAAATGATACATGAAGATTGCGGAGCGATCAAGCCAAATCCGGGGTGTATGATGTGGGATGAACAGCGACGAGTTCACGCCAGAGCCTGACACTTTCTTCGGTCACTGGGAGCACTTCGGAATGATGTCCCAGATGATGCAATGATACACTTAAATTATGGAGCGATCGAGCCAAATTTGGGGTGTATGATGTCCGATCAACAGCAACGAGCGCACGCCGGAGCTTCACACTTTCTTCGATCACCAGGTGCACCTCAGAGTAACGTCCCAGATTTTCCAATGATACGTAAAGATTGTGGAGTGATTGAGCCAAATATGGGGTGTACAACGTCGGATCAACAGCAACAAGCTTGTGCCACAGCTTCATACTTTCTTCGATCACTGGGAGTGCCTCGGAATGATGTCCCAGATCATCCAATGATACGAAAAGACCGTTGAGCGATTGGGCCAAATCCGGGGTGTAGGACTCTGAGTCTGCTGACACGAGGCAACGGCAGAGGGTTATGGAATCCTTTGCCAACTCATGTGCCTCCTGAAATCTTGAAAAGAATGCCAGATTCCGTCTCACTTCGTCAAGTACTTGGATCAACTTGTGAATGTCTTTCTTTGAATTCCGATCAACACTCAACTGAAAGTGAACGGGACTGAATAAGAATCCCCTATAAGCCTCACTGGTATTTCATACCTTAGCCCACTCAGGAAATGAAGATACACTGATGTACCCGTCGGTTCTCACACAGACCTCCGCCCAGCATGTTACATGCTGATTAAGAAATGTGTGAACCAATCCACTGAGCACCTCTAGTGGTTCCTGAACTTTGTTGAGGTGGTACACAATATACCGACATGAGTAACGAAGTTGTTCTGACAGCACCTCACAAGGGATCTGTGGCAGGTCGTCCCTTTGGCGCAAATATTTGATCAGCCCCAAACCCTCCATGTGGCAAAGATCCTTATTTAAGATCTCGGTACAGCACGGGGCCATCGTGGCATTCGCCCTCGTCATATCCAGCAGGTAACGATGATCAAGTGATTCAGGACCGATTTGGCCTGTGAGAAACTCACAGAACAACTGATGAATGATACGGATTGGTGTGTCGGAATGGAGGACCCCCAATAAGAGGGGAGCAACTTCAACCAATGTGTCACGGATGGAAGAGTTTAAGAACGGTGACAAAATTGCATCCCACGCTGCAATAGACAGTGGTTGTTCGGCGATCAGAATCGCCCCCATAACGATGACACAGTGGGAATCGAACCCGTGGCTTCAAAATGAAAACCCCAAGTTAACTCTCCACCATCTGAACCACAACACCCAACACTCTTGTTACATGCGAAGTAATATATAAGTGGTTACACCCAACACCAGCTTGGGTGCCGACCTCATACCAAAGTAACCGGTTTACATGTCTAGATTTTTCCTTTCTGCATGGGAACCTCGCATGGGCCCCAGACTCCGGCAAATGCCTAAACCCGGACTTGGGTTTATCCCCATGTAGCATGTGACCTTTGTATTGAAAGCAGAGCGTGACTTCTACATTTGTAATACAAAATTTGAATCCGGACTTGAGTATGTCGATCAAGTCAGACAAGTCAGACATATAACTCATGAACCCGTGACAAGTATATTATTTTTCGGTGGCTCATTCCATACGCTTCTCAGTTCCACCAGCTGCAACTGCAACACAACCTCATTCCAACTCTCATCATTTCATTGTTGTTGTTGTAGTCTTGGGAATGGTTACCTCTACTCACAGAGGGAATTAGTGATGTGTAAAAGATCATCTTAACCATTGTATAATACACCATTTTTAACATGATTAAAACTGTGTTTTACAATGTGGTCCATTGCATTTTACCAGGATTCCTTTACCACGTTAATGTCATATCCATACAATCCCGACCTCCGCTCCAGGCTCCCGGAACTCCGCACTCCGACTTCCGGAGCCCTACTTCCCTTCCGTCACCTTCTCCTTGCCAACTCCCAAGAGGTTATCCCACCTCCGGCTCGGACACCACCTTCGGTCCGACTCCGGAACATTCCGGGTCTGACCCCAACCTCGACACCTTCCAGACGAGTACGCAAAACCTATGCTCCTGACTCCGGACCTCCGCTCTGGTATCCCGTTCACATCTCGTCCCCGGAACCTCCGGTCTTAGCTCCGACCTCGGACTTTGACCCCACCTCCGCTTATACCCATTGTATTGGTTAGCTCATTCCATTTAATTACCTTTGCCAATATTCCGGAGTTTAACCTCCGAGTTCGGACTTTCCGGACTTACTCCGGACCTTGCAACTATTGCATTGTCCATTTCAATTCCGCTATTCTCCCTCATTCCTATTTGGGCTGCTGCTTCCTTTCTATTCAGTCAGCTAGCCATTCCCAACTCCCATCCTCCTTCCTTCCTTCTTGGGCCTTGGCCCTTCATTCCTCCTTTGGGAAACACCATTGAGTCAAACACTTGACCCTCAGTGTTATTCCTCTTTCCATCTCCCTTTGTCTCCTTTTGTCCTACCCTTGTTCCTTTTGATTCCGGACCCCTCCTTATATACAATGTACCTAGTAACTTGTAACCTCAGTCCGAAATCGACTTGAATTCCCCCCAAGAGACTTTCCCTCTGCTAGATCCGAAATTAGGGACCCCTAGGACAACCAGCAATGGCACAGCGCTCCGCCTGAGTCGCTGAGGCCAAGGTCCTTCCATGATAAGTCTCCGATTCCATTCCGGAGTCATCCAAATCCCTGCATTCTAACAGTTAAAGGAGGTAGATGACCTGTTTTTTAATGATTCTCCACCACGATAACGATTGTAAACGGTCAATTTACAAGGGTGCATTTTGTAATTTACCAGTCAGATTTCATCATTTACAATGTTGTTAATTTGGTGAAAAATGTGGTTATTTATTGTCATTTACAACTGTTGGAGGAACCGTGTGCTATGGGAGGCCGGACGAGTTTTTGTACAGCCACATTCCCACATCCGAGCGAGGAACTCGCCCGGACAGCCACATTCCCATGGTAGCGTGACTACTTAGTCACAACACCTCTTTTATATTATTTCGGACTAACCCGTGCCAGTCCACGGATATATTCATTTGAATTCATTTCCTTTTCCCTCAGTTCTTCACACATATTAGCTGAGACTGAGGTTAGTTACATTCCCTCATTGTTTTATCATTGTAACTTATGTTGTGTGTATTACCTCTAGTATTTACTCATACAGTGGGCAACAAAACTGTTCACATGTTTTGCTGTTTTGAAAAGACACACTCATACAGGCTTGGGAAAAATTCTGAAATTCCTGAAAAATTCATAGAAGATGCTCTGACATTTCAAAATGTTGCTTACATCGGCACAGGGCCATACACCCATTTATGACAATGTAATTGTAAGATGAAGTCAGCCATTACATGCGAACAGTTTTGTTGCCTTGGCTTTCTTAATGCAGAAGCAGGGCTATACTTGACTCTGGTCACATGACTTTGTTTATTAAACACAGGTATCAACAAAGTCACATGATTGGTTTGTTCCACAGCATAAATACTGGCCTGTTTTTGATTCTCTCCACCATGCACCCTCTTGCCCCTGCTACTTGTGAACACATCATTACTCTGCTACTCTCTGGCACCTCTGGGCACTCCATTCATAAGATTGCTGATGCTAGCATTGGAGCTATCTCAAAAATCTGCTCTGCATATTGCCCTGATGCTGCCAAGTCCACTGGTGGTCGTCCAACAAAGCTTACACCTGCCAACATCACCTATGCAAAGCATCTCATTCACATGCAGAAAGCTAATAATGCAGTCCAAGTGACCCAATCTCTTCAGGATGTCACAAGCCTCTCTGTCTCTCCCCAAACTGTTCATTGTCATCTTCAGAAGGCTGGTCTAAGGCCTGTGGTGAAGAAGAAGCACCCATTTCTGAAACCAGCCCATTGGAAAGCAAGGTTGCTGTGGGCTGAGAGGCACCAGGAGTACACTGTGGATGACTGGAAGAGGGTGGTGTGGTCTGATGAGACCAAAATCAATTGCCTTGGGTCAGATGGCAGGAAGTGGGTGTGGAAAGAGGCAGGAGAGGGTCTTACTGATAGGCAGGTTGAGGGAACAGTGAAGTTTGGTGGTGGAAATGTGATGATGTGGGGTTGCATGCTGTGGGAGGGTGTTGGGTATGCCACTAGGATTGAAGGGAAGATGGATGCACAGCTTTATTGCTCCATTTAACAGGATAATGACCCAAAGCACTGCAGCAAACTTGCTCAAAAGTGGTTCCAAGGTCATAACTACACTGTTATGAAGTGGCCAGCACAGTCCCCAGACCTTAACCCCATAGAGCATCTCTGGTGGCATGTGAAAAGGAGGTTGGCTGACTATGAAACTCCTGCAAGTGGTGTGGGGGAGCTCTGGGATCATTGTCAGGTGGAATGGGAGAAGATACCAAAGGAGGTGTGTCAGAACTTAATAGAAAGTATGCCTAGAAGAGTACAAGCTGTAATCAAGGCAAAGGGGGTATACCAAGTATCAATATAGTAGAATTATTGCCAGCAACAAAACTGTTCACATGCAATGGGTGACTTCATCTGACAATTACATTGCCATAAATGGGTATATGACCTTGGGCTGATGGAAGCAACATTTTGTGATGTCAGAGCATCTTTTATGAATTTCTTAGAATTTTCAGAATTTTTCCTAAGCCTGTATGAGTGTGTCTTTTCAAAACAGCAAAACATGTGAACAGTTTTGTTGCCCACTGTAGGTAATATATTTAGTTCTTCACGCATATTAGCTGAGACTGAGTATTTACTCATAGTCCAGCTCCGAGATCACAAGTGTCGCTCATCAACAACAACTACATTTATGGCAATATACAGTGGAGACTCTAGGTTACATTGCGATGAATAGCAGTCATTGCAAGTGAGGAAATGAACCAAGTTGAGGTGAACAAAAGACACAAAGGTCAATTCGAGGAGTGATGAAGAAGAGCTGATCCGGAAAGCATAACGCAGGATTGAAGCCTTGGGCTTGCAAGAAAAGTATGGAGTTGAGTGCAAGCAAGAGATGTGTCAGGGTTCAGCACCCCACCTTAGGGTGCCCCGGACTCCCCACCTACTTTACCCCCTTTATTCTTTGACTGTTGCCTTTGTGTGTTGTGTACACGCGCGCACGGGATAGCGTGGGAACTTTCTGAGTGAGCAGCTTGCCCAGAATGTTCCCACGGGTCACAGCCACAGTTCTGGGCGAGCAACTCGCCCAGAACGTTCCCACGCTTACTGGGCACTGCCACCTGGATGTTCCCTCCGGGTCACACTACACAACTCTAGGAGCTGTATAGTTGTGGGCATGTGACCCATTCCTTTATATAGCAACCATGCAGGGAGATGAGACTTTTACCCTTCTTCTCATCTCATGCCCCGCATAGGCAAGTGTATATATTTCCCTTTCTTTTACTATACATCTCATGCCCCACATAGTGTGAGGACAGGCCAGATGGGGGTTGAGGTCAGGGAGCCTCCGAGTCTGAGGCCGGGCCCTGACAAGATGGGTAGCATAAAAGTCGAGCATTGATTCGATTTTGATGAGGTTGATTTGACAGAGCATAACCTAATGAAAGTGGAGGAAGTCTCTGGCTGTGAATAAGATGGTAGAAGATACCATAAGTGAACTTCAACCCTTGCACACAGCTTTGTGAGGCAGTCTTTCCTTCTGAGTGGGCCAGGTTAATCGATTCAGACTTTCTTCTGTTGTGGGGCCATCATAGTGATGGCCATGGGGGTTCTTTTTTGGTGGTACTAGTAGAGGTGGTTGTCACGACCGACAAATCCTGGGGCTCCGTCAGCGGCAAATCAATGCCGATAGGCAAATCTGCCGACCCGAAACCCAATCTAACCAGCCCCCAATTTGATGTCTGGCCCCCTGCCCTATCAACCATGCACTGCATCCAGACCTCCACCCGCATCTGTACCTCTGCCCACCTCCACACCCTCTGGACCTCTGCCACTCCTGGTTGCCCTCCACACCCTGTGGTCAGGCCAACACTCCCCTCCGACCTTGCTGGCCATCATGCTGCCCTTGTTTGTGATGGCACTGACGGACCACCCTCTGTTGCGGACTTGTCAGTGTGGTGCTGATTTCCATGTCCCTTCACGGACTTGTGTCGGCACCGCACCGACCCCGCTTATTTGTGGACTTGTATTGGTGCCGCGCACTGACCTCTGCTTTTCTCTGGCCATCTTGTCACTCGGCAGCATACCATTCATTCCTTGCCGAGTGCCTATATTGTTCATCCATTCATTCGCTTAACTTGCCAATATTGGCACTTGATCCATGTGCTGATGCACTTCTTATTACCTGTCAATATTGGCACTTGATCCGCTTTTGTTTAGTTCATTGCCTCCCATTTCCTGGGCTCTTGTCCTTCATTCAGTTTGACAATCCCCGCTTATTTCCGCGCCGGACTGACTGGTCCTTCTGTGTTTCCCTCCTGCCTATTTATATCCTGTAAATACTTTTGGGGACCTTAGTCTGAAATCAACTAGAGTATCCCCCCTGTCTGTTCTGAGTCCCTCCTTCTGTAAAGGGGGCTTCCCCCCTCTGAGTCCGTGCTTGCGGAGTCCACACTCCTCCTACAGGTCCGCTCCGCCCGCAAGTCTTGTTTGAAGTCCGCTGTAAGTGTCAGTTTGTAAATATGGGATCTCCCCCAAACGTCAAGCTCAGGGCACAGCGCTCCACCTGAGTCGCTGAGGCCACGATCCCACTCTGCTAACCTTGAACAGCGCTTCCGGACGCGCCGCATATTTCCGCCCGCATATCCGCACGTGTGCTCCAACAGACCTCTGCATCACCTCCAACCTCAACTCAGACAGAACCCAATCCGTCTTCCATCCATCTTCTGACAGTTTGTCCGACTCCGACAATATCCCAGCCTCTGACAAAATTCCAGTCTCTGACAGTGGTTGTCATCGGGCCTTGGTCATTATCATCGCTTTCGAATTCCAGTCGTGTTTTTTGGTTACTAGCATAGGGGGAAGAGGTAGTTGGGAGATAAACTAATGAGCGCACATGGGGCCAAACTACGCCCTAAGCAGATGCATGAGCTTTTCTACCACAGGTGTGACCCTTGGGTAACATAGATTCCTGTTTGCTGTGAGAGGCTTGACGATTTTCTAAAATAAATAAATAAATGCTATTTCTCATTCACCAATGAGTTAAAGATGCATAAAGATGCATTGAAACACATCCAGATGGAAGCCATTCATGGCATCGCTGTCAGTGAGGCAGCATGCCCAGTGTCCATATTCATAAGTACTTGCCACTTCTGAGAAGAGTAGCTAGTTGCATAGCGAAAGGATAGTCAAATTGGGAGGAAATGAGCAGGTTGCAGAATGTGTATGGTATGGTGGAGAGGATAAGGCACTGAGTGGAATGGAAACTGCCGAGAACAACTTAGTCCGATTTCCAGTCTAAGCGCCACAGTCTTTGCCCACCTACCCTTACATCTTTAAGTGCCAGCTTCCATACTTGGGGCTCCTCATGACAAGAAACATTCCTGACAATTCCACCCATCACAAAGTCGCAATCTAGTTTACTAATGTCTACAACAAGCTGTACCAACATATAATCGAGCTCTTGGTTATGCCTCGCTAGGGAAATCACGCATTGTCGGGGGAGATGACAAAGTTTCCACAATGTGGGCCCAAAAATGACGAATTAAATTTAGGAACTTATCCTTCGTCTGGGTAGGAGTGTTTGAATTTCATGGCTCTCACTATTGAGCTGAAGTAGCTGTGGACTCAAATCCTCGAGCACGTCACAACACATCGCTTGTGAGAACATGCGTCACCTTGTTGACCTTGTCTCAGATAGCGGTGCTTACATGGATGCTGCCTTGGCACCGACCTCTTTTACTACACTCAAATTATCGCTCTGGCTTCGGTCTCTTCAGTATGTGGCCGATTTCCCTATGGTACATACGCATTCCCATCATTGAGCCATCATCGATCGCAGTTGCGAGCTTGCAAGGTCAATTGATGATGATGACTAACCAAACTCCGGCCATCCATACCTCTGACCTTTGTACAATACATCGCAGCTCGAATACCATGAATTGAGTGGTAATTTATGCAGGGAAGAGTCTGGTATTTAGCATCGTGAAATGTATATTGTAATTTACAATGAAAAAAATATCACGAAAACAGTGGTAAATGGTCAAAAACCAGACCAAAAATGGTTTTTTATGGCCATTTACTTCCCACAGTGTACTCATCTCGCCTGGAGCCACGGATGGAGGATACGGACTCCCTAATGGCAATGCCGGTAGTTGAACTTCTTCAGTTGGAATTGGCACTGTCGATTTGGATGAGATTATCGATCCATTGCTGAGCACAAGCAATGGGTGGGTTGCCTGATACGCTTTGGGTTTCAATTCACTTTGCTGTGTTGCATGACAATGTGCCATACCCTGCCGATTGTCAACGCAATGATATTAAGTACAACGATGCAGTTCCGCTATTAGAATAAAGACTATGTCGCATTAGACTGTGACAAGAGTTATACATGAGTTATAAAGTAAAATACTGAGAAATAGTTCTCACCTCAGACTCGAATAAGAGATCTGAGGGAGAAAAGTCTAAGAATTCATCCCTTATATATGCGACATTCCTGAGTGGCAATGTCATTGTACAAAGGGAGTTTTAAGTTGAATAAGAAAGGGCAAAACTCCCCCAATGCCTCATAGCGCCCCAGAATAACTGCTATGAATAACTGCCACACAACTTCCTGATGTAAACAAAGTTGGTGTTCCGCATCTTGTCAGAGTCCACGCGTCAGTTCGCGCGTAAGAATCTCCCCAGGAAACTAGTCATTGTAAAAGCTGGGGGGCCAACCCAGCTGGCGATAAGGCCTTATATACATGAGTTCCGCAACTCATAAGAGCGCGGCTACATTGGGAACACATGGTAGCCAATAGAGAAGCGACATGAAATAGGAGAATAGATCATGCAGATAAGGGGGCGATAACGGGTGAGGGATGACACGATAGCGGAAATAGCGCATTGAATACAGCCTGCATTCTAACTATGGCAAATCACATGCAGATATCGGCTTACGGGTACTCAACCTATCCAGATAGGGGTCCGGGCCGGCCGGATAACCGTCCGTGCCCTGACACATCTACAGGCTACTCGCTTACGAGGGGATTCTCAAGAGACACTTGCACCGGCAGGGATGACCTTCCCCAGCCTTGGCGTCCGACACCTTGTCTCACGTCTCATGTTCAGCTCCGAACTGTTTTTGGATCACAATGATGACTCATGCTGAATCAATATTACTGTACTGGCATGACCAACAACTGGCTAGGGTTGGAGCGTGACACCGGACATCCAACTGGCAAGCCTGAGTGGTGCATTACAACCGACTGGCCAAGGCCAGGACTGCGTGACACAAAACACTCTGGGTATGCCTGGGTGATGGATTTTCAGTGGGACTCTGCCTGATGGCCTTGCCGACATGAATGGTGGCCTTCAGTTGGGTTGGATTAGTGCTGAAGAGGCTGATGCGGAATCCATTGGAGAAATTGCTGCAGGGTCTGAAGTGGATAGTGGTGAATTGGTATGGGGTAGATGTGCTAAATGGGCGAGAAATCTGGAGAAGGAAATGGCGAGGTACCGCTTTTGACAGTGTAGTTGCCAAATTTGGGAGATTTGAATTGAAAATTTGTACAACCATTTATTTTGCTCAAAATGCGTGACACCTGGACATTGGACCGCCAAGGCCTGCGTTATGCATTACAAATTTCAAAAAAGTGCTGACCGGGAGGGTCCGCATTACGCATTACAGGTTGTTGGTTGTGCCAGTACAGTATGTTTGAAGACATGAGGTCTTGTAATGAGACTTGGTTGCTTGTCCAATGAGATCGACCTTGATACTGCTAGAATCATTTATGTGCAGAACAAAGTTAGCTCAGCAATCATGACTTTATATTCCTGAAATTATTCAACAGGTGGATGATGATTCATTTGTTGGAATATGAGTCACATGATTAGATTGAACTGGAATATCCGAGAATATTCTACAGGTTACTAGGCACCTGTGTAAGCGCTGAGCATAGAAGAGCCTAGAATGTTATTCAGGAGTATAAGTATGGGTGCTTTAGCACCGTATGTTCTTTAGTTAGTTACAGTTTCTCTTCTCATTTCTATATTACATCTGGGTTGCGAGTGAACCACTGAAGTGGGTTGCCATATATGGAACGCTGCATTTACAACATCATTTCATCCATCCCATGGGTGATCATTGGCCTTCAGAAAGTCAGTTTTCAAATGACTTGCTTGATGTTTTGAGTTGCATGGGCACAAACTCAGTCATGATGGACAGCTTGTTAACCTATGAATTGGCGTGGGAGTCTCCTAGAATTTTGTTTGGTCTTATCCCAGTGTAAGGTCGGTTGAGGTTCCGACCTTAGTTGTGACTCCTGCTATCCTCAAGCTGTCAGGAATTAGGCAGTATAGAGCTGTAATTTCAACAGGGGAGGAGAAGAGTGAAAACCTGTTTCACCCTTCCCTGCAATTTATATACATTGTTTACATTGAGAAATGAAGAGTAATAAACAATGAATAAAGAAAGCATGCACAGCACACATCACCACACATCCATTCCCTACACCCAGCCAATGACTGTGTAAGTGCACTGACAGCCATCCTTATTGTTATTTCACTCTATTGAGGCAGCATCTGCTGGACCAGGCATTATGGAAGGAATAAGGGCCTTTCATAATGCAGGACAGCAGCCTTCCTCATCTAACCCAGTGTCTTTTCTGGGCTATGGACAATCATGTTTAGAGTGTCAGCAAAGGAAGAAAGTTAGTCATGTATCTAGTACCCTCCGCTTGGACTTACATTGGAATAAACAGAAATGTGATGGGGCACAGCCTGCCTACCTTTGTTGCCACAGGGACCTCAGCAACTGCGTCTAGCATGAAGAAGGAAACACTAGGATAAGCCTTGCTGATTGTTTGGAAGGACATTGTAATGGGTCTATCACCACTAGACTCGAGACAGAAGAGAGGGGGAGGGTTGGAGTGGTTGCATGCACAGGTTCGTTAACTTGGAGGTGGATCTCGCTACTCCTCACAGTCTAGCTAACTATACAGCTGGTCACGGTATCACGGAAGAATCCGAAAATGACAAATAAGGAAAGAACAATAAGAAAAGGAAACATTGGGCTCTAGTAACTAGAAATGGAATCAGAAAAATCAGGAAAAATAAGAAATATGCAGGAGAGAACATTGGCTAAGGGTGGTAGAATCACGGGATTTGGCTTGTTTATGGTACACCAGCAAATCCCCATTACAACGTGTGGAGGAGTTGGAAGAGAGTATAAAGTCTCTTGATCGTTTCTTTCAAAGAGAAGAAAAGTTCTCATAAACCCCTTGGACACTTGGAAGGATGGGTCTTCATTGACCACGACCACGTCGCATCCACCATCACCAATACTTCTGTTCTTCCTGGTACCTGCCCTTGGTACAGAAAATAGTTCAGGCCTGGAGTTGTCCTTTCACCCCTTCATGAGATTGGCTATGCATCTGCTCTTCATGCATTTAGACTCAATTTTCACTTTTCTTTCCAAGACTGTGCATTTGTCAGGGCATGCCCCGACATGCCCCGCCTGACCCCCGCTCCGCTTCCCTGCTCTGCACCACTTCTCCCTCCTCTCCCTCTTCCTTTCTCCTTTCTTTCTTTCTTTCTTTCTCTCTCTCTTACATGGACCACCTTTCCCACTGTTCAATGTATCACCGGCGCACATGCCCATTTCCCCTCCTGTATCTTACCATCCCTGTGTCGCCGCTACCGCTGCCACACTTGCCCTGCACCCACAGCAGGCCCTCTCAGGATCTCCTGTGGAGGCACCTGGAGAGCCATGGCTGTGTGCGAGGGTGACGTGGTGCACCCCACGTGATCGATCCCGCATGTATATAATAATAGCTGGAGTGGGAACCAAAGAAGTAGCCTTCTTCTCACATTCCCACTTCAGGCAAGTAGTGTAGCCTTCCCTTTTAATGATAACTCACATTCCCACTTCAGACTAAGTGGTTGGGGATGCTCACCCTGCAACAGGATCACTGCTACGCACAGCCACTATTCATCCCACTGAGTCCTGCATGCTGGGACCTCGCCGCTTTCGGAGCTGTCCCTGACAGCATTTCCGCAGGTATCTCAGATTCTCCCTTGGCATTCCAGCCCCTCTTGATGACACCAGCCAGTGTGACCATATGGACCACACCCTGAAGAGTGCCATTTATGTTGCAGCATGTTAGTTTTTCTTCACTGGAACCATACTTCCTCTTTGAACTTCACCTCAATTTTTCACCTCAGCTGCCCAGCGGAAGACTGAAAGGAATTATGTGGGGTCCTATCAGCTCCCCATGGCCCATGGGCCAGTAAGCCTTTGAATGGGGATTATATCCATAGCACACCTCGGATCCTGGCAGTGGTTCAGCTGCATTGCCATCTGTTCCAAGGCTGGTCAATGATGCAAATGAAATTGCATTGTGGAGCACCCTTTATCTGATAGATACCCTCATAGCTACACTCTCTAATGAAATAGGAGCTATTGTGCATAACTCAGTCTGGTAATGGAGAACTAGTATTAAGATATTTTACCTATTGCATGTAACTGTAATGTGAAAATACAATGAGTTATGCACAAACACAGATAGGAAAGAAATGGTATCACCTCAGTTTTGTAATGGAGAACTGAGGGAGGGAGAAAAATTACGGTGTCCAGCATAACTTATACGACTAGAGCCAATATCGCTTAAAGCAATTGCCAGTGACAACTGGTGATATAAGACAAAGAAAATTGGGAGCGCATGGTATCGCAACTCTGAAACAAAAAGGTATAGTCATTGTTAGTCACAACAATATTAAGTTAAAGTAAAGACTCCCCAATCCATGCTGCAGCTTCATCAGCAAAAAATTGTTATGCTCCTGAGTGCTCCAGAGTATCGAGAGCACTGGGAGAATCAGGAGGAGATTGGCCAGTCCAGGAACAGCCCATTTCCTCTGGAGTTGGCTAGGTACTCCAGGGCACTCCCAGGAGGGCACGGAGCATTGCTTTGTGCACAAACATATCCAGTAGATACAATTTAAATGCTTCAAAGTGTATAGGGGTGAGAAGCTTCTGGGAGCTCCTGGAGCATTTGAAAATGAAAAGGAAAAAAAGAGGGAAGATCCCCCATGAATACCTCCTACCACAAGACTAATGTAAGGAGTGGTAACCCCACCCCTTATTTCCCATTACTGTCTTGTATTAAACATGTATATACAAAGTACATACAATAGTGTGGGAAAGTGGAAAGAGCAACTTAGCCTTTCCTCCCATACTGTTGCAAATAATAAGTTACTTTTGTTGGCAGCCTGAGGAACTAGGCTAACCAGGGTTGGCACCTACACCAACCCCTTACAACTAACACAACAAGACACTGCTTAACATTTAGATCAAACACTATATATCAAGGACACTGAGACTCACCAATACACAATCAAAATTTATGGCCTGATATATGATTAATCTGGCAACTTAATCACTTTCGGGCTGGCAGAATATGGAGGAGGGGGAAATGAGGGGGAGAATGAGGGGGGGATATAGAGGGAAATGAGGAAAAATTGAAAAATAGGGACTTCTAAAAAGTTGAAAAAAATAATTAGGGTAAAAATCAAAAAAATTCAGGAACTGTAGTGCCTTTAAAGTGCTTTCAGGATATATAATTATTTGCAAAATTGAGGAAGAAATGATGGAAAATACTTTTGGAGACCCAAGAAATAATGAGAACTGAATTGATAGGAAAGTCTGAAAATTGAATAGGAAAGTGAGGGGAAGCCTTGTAGCATTGCTGTTCTAATTTTTCCTGATTGTTCTTGGTCTCACTCCCAGCTGCTACTGGATACTCCTGGATACTCCAGGATACTCCAGGATGCTCCTGGAAGCTCCTGGGAGGGTCCAGGAGCAGCTAATGGAAAATACTTTTGGAGACCCAAGAAATAATGAGCACTGAATTGATGGGAAAGTCTGAAAATTGAATAGGAAAGTGAGGGGAAGCCTTGTAGCATTGTTATTTCCTGCTGTTCTGATTTTTCCTGATTGTTCTTGGTCTCATTCCTGGTTGCTCCTGGATGTCAGAAACCGGGTCGAGACGAAGGAGTGTCTCCATGATGGAGGGCTTCTGTCAGGAACGTGCCAGAAGCGTATCCGGGTGACCCGCGAGGCGCGCGAGGTCGTCCGGGCTCGTAAGGTCGGAGGGGCGGGACTTTAGCTTCAGCGACTCGGGTGGAGCGCTGCGCTTCGTTCTTATGTTGGTGTCCCAATTTCAGACAGAAGCCTTACGATGAGGATAAGAGTTTAGAGGGGGAATCCAAGTTGATATACGAACTAAGGTACATCCGGTGTAACCTACACGCGTTATAAACACAAGCAACTAAATGAGACCGGCCCAGAAGGAGTGGCGGATCAAGCGCGATATTAATGAATGAAGAAAGGAACAAATAATCAATATCGGCAAACTTGGTCAACAAAAGGCAAGCAAGGAACAATAGGAGGAACAATAGTCCGTAAGCGGACAAAAGAGAAAAGGCCATCCGGCCGTCTAGCAAGCCGTCCGGTTGGGGGCGGACAACAATGAAGCGGGCAACCTAGGTTGGTAGGTACGCGCGCGAGGGAGGAAGTGCGGATGAGGGTGACGGGTGGATGGATGGGTGGACAGATGATGATGATAGTGGGAGGGACGGACCAAGTGGCACTAGGGCGCATAGAGGGAAGTGACAGATATGTCGGGTCGTGACAGTATCCCCTTCTTAGGGCCGACGCCCCTGGAGGCCCAATTGGTGCACGTGGGAATCGTTCGGCCAATTCCGAATTTGAATCCGCATGTGAAATCAAACATTCGCTCCATCAATTTGACTAAGTCCAGTCATTACTCAACAGTTCTACTCAATACCCCGCCTTCCATGTCCAAACATCTTGACCTCCTCAACATCGCGTCCTGGGAGGAAGAGGATATCCAAGAGGTGATGGATGATGAGCCTGCCATGATGCAGGCTAAGCTCAACAAACGGGTGAGGCGCAAGGTGGCCAAGAAAGCGGCCAAAGAAAAGAAAAAGCGTGAGGAAGAGGAAGCCAGGGAGCGGGAGGCAGAGGCGAAGCGCCAACAGGCGCAGGCGGCTGGGTCGTCCAAAGGCAAGGTGAGTAGCCAGCTTCTTTAATCACTTACTGCCACGAGATCCCTGAGTCTAACACAAGTATTTTTTTTGTTTTTGTTTTTTAGCGCAAGGCCACAGTCGACCCGCCACAGGCTGCAAGGGAAAGGCCCCCTTGTGGTCGTTGCATCAAGTCCCAGCTGGTCTGCGAGCGGGGCAGGTACCAGGCATGCACGAACTGCACGCG